CTGTGTCAGTTACAACAAAGACCAAAATGGCTTTTGCCAACTAAAAATCTTCAAGTTAATGATCTGTGTCTCATAAAGGAGGATAACTTACCTCAAACTAAATGGAAAATGGGTAGAATTACTCAGTTACATCCTGGTCTTGATAATATTGTTAGGGTTGTGACTATTAAGACTTCAGATGGCATGGTCAGGAGAAATATTACAAAATTGTGTCCATTACCAATTTGAGTTTTAATTCATGTATTATAAATGAAGTATTATATCATGATTTTAATATTGTATTGTGTTTTAAATTTACTGAATCTTAAACACTAAATGTTGAAATAGTATTTCAAGGTAGGCGGCATGTTCGCACCTTATATAAATTTGATTTTGTTCTCTGCAAGAGGGCGCCTGCGAGCGCCGAACTACCTGTATATCTATTGTACGAACTTGTTCTTCACTCTGTCAAATAAACGCAATAACGAACATTTGTGTCTACTTTCCATCTGCTAACACCTAGCAGTACGCGATATAATAACCTGCATTTCTCAAACAGAGGTGTGCCTTTAAAATTTCTAAGACCAAAGAGTGAAGATCTTCCCTTACGGAAACCATTTTGGTAAGGCGATAGGCAATGATTAGTCTCCAGATAGTAGGTGAGACAGTGATTTACCATTTTTTCCATAATCTTGCAAAGGCAGCTAGTGAGTGCAATGGGGCGATAATTTAAAGGATTTTTCAGGTCCTTGCCGGGTTTTACTATAGGGATAACAAAGGCCCTGCACAGATTTGAATCTTTTCCAAGCGCATCTTTGTGGGCAGAAACTCTTTTGAGTAATTGCTAGTGCCAGATACAGCAGCAAATGTATCACCTAAAGCATTGGCTATTTCTTCTCTAGTGCTAATCAACTTTCCATCTTTTTCTAGAACAGAAAAGGAATAATCATTATAGAGTGCAGATGCTTTACGGACTCTTTCCCAAACCTGTTTGCTAGACATTGAGGAGGTAAAAGTGGACACGTAGGCTGCTTATGATTTTCTCTGACTTTGCTGCCTCACTTTTCTTGCATTCGCCTTAGCTTTTTTACAGGATTGGATATCGGCGTTCCAGTGTTGGATATCGGTGAAAGATACGCCAAGCTTTCTTTTGCTCTCTCGAAGTTTTATGACAATCATTGTTCCACCAGGGTTTAGGGAACTTTGGGAACTTTGTCGAGGACTTCGGAATACAGAGTTCAGCAGCTTGTACAATAGTATCAGAGATCATTTTTACTGCAGTATTAATGTCCACATCGTTGACCATTTCTTCAGTCAGCACAGCACAAGATTAAAAAAGATCCCAATCAGCTTTATCGTAAAGTAAGCGTGGTTGTCTTGAGATCTTTGAATTCCCTGTAATATTTAAAATGACTGGGAAGTGGTCACTATTGTAGAGATTCTCCCCTACACTGAAAGAGCAGAAAGGTAGTAGAGATGGAGAACAAAAAACCAGATCAACTGCATGAAAGGTTCTAGTCGACTGATGAAAGTAAGTGTATTCTCCATTATTAAGGAGACAAATAGAGTGATCTTCCATTAATTGTTCGATCTGCCGGCCGCTTGAATTAGTGTCCCTACTTCCCCATAATGTACTATGGGCATTGAAGTCACCTAAAAGCAATAAAGGTTCTGGGAGCTGCTCTATTATTCTGTCCAACTCTCGCTGATCAATATGCTCATGTGGGGGTAAATAAATGGTGCATACAGAGATTGAAAAGCGTAAATTAATCTGAACCACCACAGCTTGAAGAGAGGTCGTCAAAGGGAGAGCAATGTATGGGTGATTGTGGGAGGTGATAAGGCCCACACCACCACAGGCACAATCCCCAGATGGGTTGTCCTTTCTTACTGTTGTATATCTCCGTATCTTAGCATGTCTGCTTAGTTTTAACAAGGTCTCCTGAAGCCCGAGGCAGGCAGGTTGATACTGTTTATTAAATCCTTGATGTTATCCAGGTTTTGATGAAAACCCCAGCAATTCCATGAAATAAATGTACCCATTATTGATGCTTGTTTTGACTTTCGAGGCAAAAGGTGCTTCGGAAGGGATAACCCTTCTTTAACGTCCATTTCGTCTGAATCGTCTAAGCGTCCTGAACTCATGCTTGCGATGGAACTTTGACTGGGGGTCCTGGGTTTTTGCTTATTTTTCTCTTTGATACCATCTCTATGCTTGTTCTGTTGGACATCCTGTTTTCCTTTGGGCGCTGTCACTGGCGTACTACTTTCAACATCAGGTTTTTTCCCCTGATTTTTGGTTTCTAGGATCTTCTGTGGTTGCTACTTCTTTTTTCTGTGCAGTTATTGTGGTTTGCGTTGATACTGATCTGAATGATTTTGTTGCGGATGCATAAGATTTATTAGGTCTTGGCTGATTAGAGAGAACAAGTCTTTTGGCTTCTGCAAATGATATCTTTTGTGTAACTTTAATGTTTTAATTTGTTTTTCTGTCTGCCATTTCGGACATGATCTTGAAAAAGCTGGATGCTCGCCTTTACAGTTTATACACAAAGGGGCAGCAGAGCAGCCTTCGCTAGCATGGCCTACGATGGAACATCGAGTGCACATGAGGCTACCGCGACAAGAGGTCTTTCCCTGCCCAAAGTGCTGACATTGAAAGTAACACATTGGATTCAGTATATATGGCCTGACTGAACAGTTTAGGTATCCGGCTTTGATATTTTTAGGCAGGTTAGGAGACTTGAAAGTAAGTATGACATGTTTAGTGGGAATGAGTTGACCCTTCTTTCCGTATTTTGATCCTACGAGCACCACACACATTTTGATCTACCAACTCTTTAACAAATTCCTCTTCAGTTACTGACAGTAAGACTATTTCAGAGATTACTCCTCGGGACGAATTTACAGTGTTATGTTGCTTAACTACAATGTCTGATTGTCCTAATTTAGTTAATTTCAAAAGATTATTAGATTGCTTTTCGGACACAGTTTCTATCAAAAGGTCTCCAGATCGAAGTCTCTTAATATTTTTTAGTTCTCCTACAGAAGACAAAAGATGTTTGTTTATTAGAAAGGGTGACATTTTTTTCAATTCTTCAGAGCTGGTTATAATTAAGAAATGTGGACAAAGTACATCTGATGCAGTGCTTTCTATGTCGCTTCTTAGTCTTTTAGTCACAGTCGGAGTATCGGGTACATTGTTGGAGCAGGAATGTATCATAGTATTCATATTTAAATTGAGAAAGATTCGGGTCCGATGGCCCCACCCACCATGGAGCCCAACAAGAGGACGCAGATTCCTACACCAGGGCTAGCCGGACCTATATGCAATCTGAAGTCCCATAGTCGGTTTTTCCAAAAGCAGGTACTCCCGAGAGCTGGTCCCCAAGCCACTGACCACAAGGACTAGTGACCAGCCGATTGACACCTGTGAGGACGACAAGGTGCCTCCCATTTAACTGAAGCAGAGGCCAAAGCAGTATGTTGGGGACAGTACTTCGCCCCTCATCTACCAGGACCCTCTTTTCCAGTGACACGGGTCTCCGTGCACAGCAAACACGTGGGCGGTTTTCTCGCCACTCGAAGAACTAGGGACAAGGCTGTTCCAGTTTCTTATGACGAGCCCGAACCTCAGAAGAGGAAACCACATGGGAGAAGGAAAATGGGAAAAGTTGCAGTGAAGAGGAGAGGAGGCAGAAAGGAGGAGAGATCACTGGGGCTCCAGAATTGTGACACCCGATCACCGAGACGGTAATCACCTGAAGGATCTTCACCTGCTATGCTTTAACTGGGCATGTTCGAACGGCCTTCACGTCTAAGGTGGCCCTACCAGGAGCTATGCTCCCGATGTACTTCGCCCGTTCCGCCCAGTGACACCCCACCCCACCCCTGCCACGTTGAAGCAGCATAGCAGGACTTGGGGGGGGGACTTCTTGAAGAGATTTTCAGCAAACCCAGACAGCATCTGAGACTTTTGTTTATAACCTCCAGAAAATGATGAAAGTCATCGCACTCAGACAAATTCATAAAAATTCATCTGATTGGATATTTGTACATAAGGACTTAAAAAACTGTTTTGATATGTTTCAGCGAATAGATCAGGTGAAGAAACCTTTGGAATCTCCTTATGAAGGACCATCTCCTGTTATTGATCACAAACATAAATATTTTACTATTAGCATACAAGGAAAACATATTAATGTATCATTGGATCGCTTAAAACCAGCTTATATTTTAGCTCAGGAAAATTCTCACTTAACAAAATTTGACAACAGCAAATTGCAGAGACTGGACTCAAATTCAGATGTGGATCAAAAACATTCTCGCACAGGTAGAACCTTACATTTACCTGTCAGATTCAAGGATCGATCTAAATTCTGACAGTGGTCAACACTGCAATGCTAGTTACTTCTTATTTTCCAACCTTCATAATGTAACTTAGTTACTCTGGTGAGGGATCAGCAGTTGAACATGAAAACTTTAAAATCTGTATTCACCCTAAAATATAATTTGACCAGTTCATGTGAGAAATTTCACGACATTTTAATAAATGATCCAAATATATTATAAAGTAATTCACTCGGATAAAAAATATAACCGTGAAAGAAAATCATAAATTTTAAAATAAAATAGTAAATTAATTTAAAAACATAATATTCAAATTATTATTTTTAGAAATATTTTTATAGTCAACAATAGTTAATAATAAATATATTTTTATATATTAATAAACAACTATATGAATGTATATAATAAATATTTTTTTGAATTATTGGTCTGCTGCCATAACTAAATTATAATTCTCATTTCATTCCATTTGTCCCACTTTGTCTCAATGAAAATGTGGTCACTTTATTCTAATGCCATATATTCTCTCTCTTGGTACATAAACGTTTGGGTTTAAATCCTGATGGTTTCGACACTGACTTTTTATAATCAATAAGTTTTAAGCAATACTTACATTGCTATTAGGTTATTAAAATGAATTTGGTGACTTATACAACTTATATGATACTCACCTTTATTACCAACAATACCAGCATCTGTAACATGAAGAATAACAACACATGACCTATCAAGAGCTGAGGAGACAGACTGCAAAACATTTTTATCTATGCTTTGATCAACAACTATTTCTTGAACACCACAATGTGTTTTGTGAATATGATTTAATGGATCTTTAATAGATGTCAAAAACATATGAGGCTGTCCATCTAAAAATGCCTGTAAAAAGCACATTTATATTTAAAAACTACAGAATAAATTTTAACAGCAATTAATATAAAAAAAATGAACCAAAAATAGTTAGCTACCTAAACAGCACATGCAATGGCTCTCTGATGAAATATCTGGATGACCTTTATAAATTATGATTTACACTGACATTTTTCACGAGAAAAACATTCCCATTTCAGTTTAAATATGGAATTTAAAGATTACCTATATACTCCTATTAAAATTTATGGTACTGTTCTGTCATTGGGACCAGATTCAGAAATGTATGTATGTATGCAGATGTGTTATCAAACTGATATATGTGCATATATGTACAGGGTGATTATAATTAAAGTTTAAGTTTCAAAACGCTATAAAAAAAGAACCACTCATGAAAATGATGCCAAATTTGAAAGGAATGTTATTGAAGAAAGCGGAAAGCGTATGGCAGAAGAAAAAAATTAGTTTCAAAAGTTAGCAACAGATGGCGCTGCAAGCGGAAGAAGACGTAAATTAAAATGTTAGTTAAATTTCAGTGTTATAAAGCCGCCAGGTACCAGGCTGTTCCTCATTTCGCGTCTCAGACGTTCACCATGGGTGTTTCACTGCAGGACCGCGCTCTGCTGGTAAAGCTGTATTACAAGAATGTGATGATTGTGCAAGAGTAGCTTCTGCAAAAATTCAGGACACTGAAGGGTATAAAAGAAGGCGTTGGTCCAATGAGTGTCATAGGAATCTAAAGAAAATGATGCAAAAATTCGAAAACGACAGGTTCGTTTGATGTGCAATCTGGTAAGAGGGAGAAAAGCGAGTGCATTCGACGGTAGTTGAAGAAGTGGCCACAGCATTACAGGAGGGGTCGGCCGGTGGTGTGCAACCGTGCAGTGCACGAGGAATTGCCCGAACATTGGACAGGCCTACGAGCACGGTGCTGAAAATTGTACGAAACATCCTGCAATGCTATCCGTACAAAATTGGCCATGTGCAGGAATTTCTTCCGTCTGACCTGACAGCTAAGGGAGACGTTTGCGTTAGAATTCCTGGCTCGCATGGAAGTGGATAATGAATGGCCGTGGAAAATTTTGTGGACAGATGAAAGCCCATTTCCATCTGGCAGAATACGTGAATACCCAGAATTGTCGAATATGGGCAACAGAAAATCCACTGGCAACGCACCCCGTACCACTTCATCCTGAAGAGGTCACCGTATGGTTGTGGCTTTACGGAATCATTCGTCCTACAACCATATTTTTTCGAGCAGACGAGGTGCTTCCGGTCCTGTTACCACAACCGTCACTGGTCAGAGGTTTACATCTGTCTCTTTTGCGCAACCACGCGATTCCAGCTCTGCAACAGCGTGGATGTGTGATGAAATAATTTTTATAACGATGGCATTTTTATGCAAGATGGCGCTCCTCCGCACATTGCACATCCCGTGAAGCAGCTGCTGAGGCGCCATTTCGGAAATGCTCGAATTATCAACCGTCTTTTCCCTACAGCCTGGCCGTCCCGATCGCCTGATCTTACTCCGTGTGATTTCTGGCTGTAGGGATATCTGAAGGATGTTGTGTTCCATGCTCCAATTGCAAATTTAGCGGAATTAAAGGCATGCATTTCGCAACACTTTCTTAACAACACCCCGGAGACACTGCGATCCGTTGTGGAACATGCTGTTTGTCGCTTTCAACTTGTTGCACACAACGGTGGACACCATATTGAAGATGTTTTGCGCCAGTCTCGCTACAGTTCCGAACTTCTTTGATGAATGGTTCTTATGCGGTATGTCGCCGCAAAACTCTTGAAACCGATTCGTCCCTTTCGATGTGATATGTACAGTCATGCAAATAAAATTATTCAACAATTCTAATTTGTCAATGCATTTTTATGTGTAACTTCCATCTTAGCCGTTGTTTTACGAATCATTTCTCTTTTCTCGTCGGGATACTGCCGCTTACAGCGCCATCTGTTGCTAACTTTTGAAACTAAATTTTTTCTTCTGCCATACGCTTTCCGCCTTCTTCAATAACATTCCTTTCAAATTTCACATCATTTTCATCAGTGGTTCTTTTTTTATAGCGTTTTGAAACTTAAACTTTAATTATAATCACCCTGTATATACATATACACAAACATACATTCATACACACATACATATTTATACACACACAATACATTCATGCACACATAAAAAATATATATATGCATATATGAAATCATACATACATACATACATTCATTTATGAATCTAGTCCTGAAAACAGAACAGTACCAAATTTATAACTAAATGTTCAGATACATAAAAATTATAGAATGCTGCAAATTAATTTATATATTTTAATTATCACTATTTAAATTAATATCAGAAGTTCTTGCTTCATGATTATCACATATTTTTATATACACTTATACCTTTTCTTAAAATTATTTATAACAATTATTTTGTACCAGAAGCTGGTACAGTCATTGTCATTGCTCATGCCCTATAATAGTGATTTACAAGAGATGCAAAAATGGAGAAGGCATAAATTGAGTCTTTTATAATACAAGGGAAATTCTGATGGTTTTAATGTCCATAGAATAACAGCACAAAGATCTCTGATGGTAAATATATAAATATAAACAAAATAAATAAATAAAATACCTCTAAATTTTGAAGTGTACTGTTTAATGTATTGGATTTTTCATCAGGGGAAAAATCTTCTAAACTCAGCTAAAATGAAATACAAGAAAAATTACTTAGTAAATATTTTTCATTATTAAAAACATTACAACAAAGTATGCTTTCTGAGAAAGAAAGAGACAGAAAAAAGACACAACTAAAGTTAAAAATAAATAATTAAATAATGCATTAGTTATCTAATAATTAAGTAATATTAAAAATCTAATAATTAAATAATATAGATTAAATAGAAAATAAAATTGTATTAAAAAAAATTCTCAGATTTGTAAACTGCGTACATTTCACAATTTCAGATTTTACGTTTTTCATTAAATACATATAATATATCCCAAGTTCTCAGAACTATGATTTTCAATTGAAATGAACACTTAAAAGTGATTACTACCATACTGCAGTTAAATGGTTACAAAGATTTTTTTTATAATATGCCTAATATTGCTATTTTGGAAAATACTGTGAAACTTCAAAAGGCTATAAATGCCCAGCTGGAAAAAGATGCTAAACACATCTGAAATTCAAATACTTTCAACAAATATAAGGTGATAAAAAGCAAAATAAAATTTTAAAAAAAGTTAAAAGGAAAAGAAGAGGGAGAGAAACTAAAAAATAAACATTTTTAATATTACAGAATGAATTTGAACAAGTGGGCAAAACTTTAGGGGGTGATAGACAGCAGCTATACAAGCAATATTCAACATAAAATGTATGGTTTGAACGCAAGCAGTGAGAAGTTAAAGGGTAGTTTTACCTCGTCACATTTAAATTAACCAAAGAATGAGATAATATACTTCAGAAAACATTTTATTAACAGAACGTGCTCAGACAAATTGCTCAAAAGACCTTCTGCCAGCTATAATGCAGGCTTCACACCTGCAGGATAGGAGCTGATGGACATTTGCGAACACACAAGGCATTTCCCAAATATCAACAGCAACAATGGCGATCCTTCCGACTACGTCCATATTGGTTTCGACAGGGCACTAGTAGATTAGGCTTTTCACATGGCCCACAGGAAAAAGTCCAAGTACGAGAGATCTGGTGTTCTCAGTGGCCACACTACGGGACCATCTCGACCAATCTGCTGTCCTGGGAACTTTGCATCTAAAGTGTTCACATCTAAGCTGAAGTGTACAGTGCACCATCCTGATGAAACCACATTCTTGACCTGATGGGTGCTGGAATCAGACACAGCAGCTCCAGCAACACCTTTTGTAAGAATGTGTAATACAATTCCCTATTCCAATGGTGTTGCAGGAGGTATGGGCCAACCAAATGGTCATGGAGAACCGCCATTGGAATCAATAAAGACATATGGCAGGCAGGTTTGTAGATGCCCATGTTTGCGAGTTGTAGATATTAAAAAGACCCTCACATATGAAAGTGCACTCGTTCATAAATACAACATGTGCAATACAATCCATCTGCTCTGCACTCTGATGAAAGTATCCAATGTGCCAAATTGACACATAGCTGATAGTCCATTGGTGACAACACTTGTACCTTCTGTGTACAATAGGTGTGCATTCCTTCTTCTGGTAGAACATGGTAAACTGTCATTTGGGACATGTTTACAGCATTGGAAACTGTTTGTGTGCTACATTCCAGTTGACCTTTCACCCTACGCAGAAGAATGCCTTCTTCAAGATGTGGTGTTCTAATGCTCCTTTCACCCTCTGCGTCTTGCTTGGCTGTGGTGAAGGATCCTGTCTCACACATCTGCCAATGCAAACGTTCGAATGTTTTTCGATTTGGAGTACATTTTATCCGAAACTGGTCCAGGTAAAGTCTCTGTGCCTCACTCGCATTCCCGTCCACCACATGACACACAAAGTGCATATCGGGCATTTCATAGTTCATATAACCAGCCATCCTCTTTGCAATCCACAGTAAAAAATTTCGCTGAGTCCAAGGACTGACCCTTTTGTACCATTTACAATGACACCTAGTGGCTTGTCATTTGTGTTTCTACCATACATTTTAAGACTAATATTGCTCGTATAGCTGCCTTCTATTACTCACTCAAGTTCTGCCCACTTGTTCAGATTCACCCTATATTTCTTTCAGAATTTTTAATAGGCTATAAATTTATGTTAAATGAGTTTCTCAAAAGTCAGCTTTCATATTAAAAGCAAAATGGTTTTTGCAATGCTAGTTACAAGAAGTGTGACAAATTGCCAAACGTGGTTATAGCCATGTAAAACATATTAATAAATAACAATATCGGTTGATCTTTACATTATGGTAACTTGGCGTTTTTTTGGCGAAAATTTGCCGACCAACTCTCCTTCAGCAACCCTCTATTTTTTTTCCCCGCTGCCATTTTGTCTTCACGAAGTAAAGACATGTTTCTTTTCTTTTTATCTACTGAACACTTCTTCCAACAATCTACTAGCCGAATTACACTTATGCTAGAAATTTTATCTAACAAAACTGCTTAATCATGACAAATATTCACTGCAAAATTGGGAAAAAGTGCACAATACCATACTCCTTACGCGTTTTTCAAAATAACACATACACATAACCATGTACTTATTTTTACTTAAAAAAAAAACATCCCAGAATTACACAAAAAATGGCATTGCGCACACTCTTCACTATATCCATGTACACTGCTTTTTTCTCATAAATTAGAAAAATTTCACGAAAATACATGACAATTTTCTGAATCTTTAAACCCGGTAAAAAAAAATAACATATATGAAATTACCTGATCGCGAAAAAGTATTATACCCTTTCCAAATATGAACATTTCCACATATAAAATAAATAAAATATCCAAAAACTTTTACCTCTAAATCATCTATTATATTATACACGTCACCAACGAATTCATACCGCAAGCATTACAAATACTTAGTGTCAAATATTTAAATTATTTCCATGCACATTTTACTTCAACTTAAACGTATACCAAATTCCTACAAACATAAAATTCACAAAATAACTATCATTTAAATTAAAATATCACTAAACCATGTACACGTCGACTTATTTTTACTTAAAAAACATCCCAGAATTGCACAAAAATGGCATTGCGCACACTCTTCACTATATCCACGTACACTGCTTTTTTCTCATAAATTAGAAAAATTTCACGAAAATGCATAATAATTTTCTGAATCTTTAAACCCGGTAAAAAGAACACATATGAAATTACCTGATCGCGAAAAAGTACATACCCTTTCCAAATATGAACATTTCCCCGTATAAAATAAATAAAATATCCAAAAACTTTTAACTCTACATTATCTATTATATTACAAATGTCACTAACTAATTCATACCTTTACTTCATTACAAATGGTTACAAATACTTAGTGTCAAATATTTAAATTATTTCCATGCACGTTTACGCAAATTACTTTACTTCCACCTTACATTTAGAACAATGCATAAAAATAATATCCTCAAATAATTAAAAATACTAACTTACCTATTCTTCTTCAGAATCTTGATTACGTGTCCGATAAACTTTTCTTATTTCTGTTTCAGGATCTTTAAAATCATACTTATAGTTCACACCAAGGTACCAGGTAAAATAAATAACTTAATAAAACATCTTTACTTCTATCTCGCACAACCTTAAAGAAACACTTATTACCCCTTTCAATCGCACTAAATACCCATTTTTCACTTTAGTTAGGGCCATGGGATCCAAAAACTTAACGAACACTGTTTCACACAACACAGAATAAAGGCAAATACAAAATTTCCAGATTTGTTCCTGATTTCCCCCCTTTTCTGATTAAAGAACCGTAATTCGTCCATTAATATCACATGATCTCTCATTTCTCTCACACAAAATAATGCGTAATGGGAACTGAGTACTGCTCACATTATTACCAAAGTCCCATGCCTGTTATGATTTGCACAACCTTGTTAAAGCAGGCACAAATCCTGCCAATAACCAAAGTGTCCATTTTAAGTTAATAAGATGCCCATTATAAAATTTAGAGATTAAGTTTTTACCTAAAATAATACTCTTTAACAATTTCTTATAGACTTAATCTACATAAATTATTTCTGTTTTAATAGTGTTACTAGGCCCATTACATATACCTTTGTCCTCAGTATCAAACTGTACAAATTATATCTGCTAATTTATTATTTGCCACTGAGTAACATAAAAGCACTTTCAAAATTTTTTGGAAGCAAAAAATTTATAATAAGACAACTGTGAATAATCAAATGACATTTATGTTAAAAAATATTGCAAAAACTGATAAATCAATCAAAAGCTCTTCCTAAAATGGAAGAAGTAACTGTGCACAGATAGCATGTTTGAAGGCATCCCCAACATTATCAACGGGATTAAGGTCACGAGAATACAAGGACCCACTCTATACAAATGCGTTCACTTTTCAGGTACTCATCAGCTGACTTAATGGAGACAAGCATTATCAAACTTAAGGAAGAAATCAAGACCAGCTGCTGCAGCACAGTCTTACAAAAGGGACAAGACTTCATAGCCATACTGTGCTCCCATCACAGAATATCTTTTAATTATCTGTAGCTGGATGCCCTATTCCATTGAAATTCCATTCCACACCACATGATGCACCACTGAATGCATGATGCTTGATGATGTTCTGGATATGATTCCACATGCGTCATTCTCTCTAGATTGTTACATACTTATCATTTGAATAGAAGGAAAATCTGGTCAAAAAAAAAATATATTGCAGGGTCCCCCTTGGCAAAAATTGGCGAGTGTTTTGGCACCATTCCTATTTACATGCAACACCCTCCCAAGTAAAATGGATCGCAAAGTTGTTGTTTCATTTATGGTAACTTGAGTACTTGAATGTTATTGAAACCTTATTATGTTGCATGTTTGTGGTATATTTTGAATGAAGGGAAAAGATTTGTAAGGGCTTGTGGCATGTGTTGGTTAGGAAGTACATTGCTTGTTTTATGGTTTAGACAGTAGAATGGTTAAATGTGGTAAGGTTAATTTGAAGTTTCTGTACGATTTGGAACAAAAGGGGAAAACAGCATTAATTGACTGGTGTGTAAATGAAGGTTTACTTAGTAGCCATTATAAGTGTCCTGTTTGTACAAAGGAAATGTGTACGGTCCAACATTCAAGGATACCAGCATACAAAGGATATTTTTTACCCTTATTTTTGTGAATTTATGTGGCAATGCTGATATACAGATTCTAGTTCAGATAATTTTTAGGAAGTTTTTGGATGCTGTTAAGGAATTTTGTTTTGACTGAAGGCAGAGAAATTTATAAATAAGATGAGTGGATATTTCCTTTATTTAGCGCGAAGATGAATTTCCTTTTTTATGTTATTTCATTTTTGATTTTTACAATGTAGTTTACTAAGATTATATATTTTTTGTTGGTAGCTCCTTTGACTTTTTAAGTTAAGTGAATATAGATTGATGTGTACATGGATAAAGTCAAGGGAGTGCATAGTGCCAAGTTTGTGCAATCCTCTGATGTTTTTTAAGTGAAAATAGGTCAATGTGTACATGGATACCGAGTTTGTGCAATTCTTTGACTTCTTATTTTGTCTTTGTGTAAAAGAAATAACAAGTCAAAGAATTGCACAAACTCGGTATCAATGTAATGCCCAAAATCGTCAATTTTCGCCAAGGGACACCGTAAGTATATTTTTATCCATTCTTATTGAACTTGGTATCGAAATGCATAAGATGACAAGTTAATAGCACCACAGAATTGTTTTTGATCATTTGATTATGCAAATATTTTAAATCTCAGAGCAATAATATAATAGGCTCTATTATTCCCTTAGCATCAGAAGTAAAATGATTACTATACAAAATATTAAATGTCTATTCCAATACTATAAAATCAAGGTCTTTGAAGTTCAAACTCTTTTTTTTTTTTTTTTTTCCCCATAATTACTATATTAAAAAAAAAAAAAAAAAAGGCAGCTTACTTTACTTAAGGCAAAAACAAGTATGCTGGAGTCCTCTTGAAAAATATCATTCAAACTATCTGTAAATAATTTGTCATCACGTCCCAAGGCTGAGACAGGTTTTAGATGCAAAGAATTTCTATAGAAAATAAAAGAATACATAAATTCATTTAAAATAAATGTTAAAAGTTTTGAAGCAAATGTGATTACATTAATATTTAACTAAATTCACACAAAAATACATTTAAGAAATTAAAAACAAAGCAAAGCTAAGAATAAAAACACAATGATAGGTGCAGGAACTGATTTCTTTTCCAATATTTTTGTTTATTTATTTATTTTTTGTAAAAAAGGTTGTTTTATTCATTTGAAAGCAAAACTAATTCCACTTTTTTCAACTTATTTTCTTCAAGCATGCAGACAGAAAGCTATTGGGTCCAGTACACACACTAGTTTAGCTTTAAATTTGAAGGCATTTAAATAGATTAAGGTAGAATAAGATTAATCCATTCAGACAGATAATTAATCTGTCCATAATTTGTCAATAAAAAAATGAGGCATCTTCTGTTGAGTTGCAGCAACAAATTAGTATCAAATGAAGTAGGATTAAACTTGAATTAGTATCAACTGAAGCAAAATTTATTAGTAGACTACGACATCAAAATACAAATGAAGAAAGAAATTTTAGAAAAATATGAAATAAATATTTATTTACATTTTTCTCTTATCTATTAATGATATTTTTAAGAATTTCTAGCAAGTACCTTTTCCATTAAATTATATGAATGGAATACATCATGTAGCAATTTCATACTGCTGACACCTTTCCTACATTCTCTTGTCTAGCTTTCCCTTGAATTTAGTTATCAGTTAACTAGTTCTAAAGGCAATAAAAGTAATGACATATGTGATGTAATACTTTCAATTTTTAATCTTTGGATTATGGTAACTTGGCGATTTTTGGGCGAAAATTTGGCGACCAACCCTGATACAGCAACCTGCTAGTTTTTGTTTGGATGCCATTTTGTTTTCACGAAGTAAAGGCATTTTTTTTTGGTACTATTTGGTTTTGAGGGCCGTAAAAAAATTCCAGCGAAAATGTATGCGCGAAAGCGCCAAATCTAGCAAACACGCCCATTTAACAGCGTGCCAAATCTAGCGTACGCGCTGATTTCAGATTGCATAAGTTTATATAGTTCTATATTTCTTAACACGCCATTGAAATACTAGTTTAATTTTTAATTCCTTTTTTGATAACCTATGGATTTAATAATTTGGGAATTGCCCATGATGAAAAGTCTGCGATAGAATTATGGGTAAAGTGCAGAATCACCCACTGCTTGACGCGTTTTTAAGAATTGCAAATACTCGGTATCCATGTGCACATCGACTTATTTTACTTTTAGGTGCGAAATTGGGAGAAAGTGCAGAATCGCAAACTGCTTGCCGCATTTTTAAGAATTGCACATACACTGTAACCATGTACATGTCGACTTATTTTCACTTAAAAAAAATCCCAGAATTGCACAAAAAATGGCATTGCGCACACTCTTGACTTTATCCATGTACACTGCTAAAGTCCTAGCTAGTAACCTTTATCGCCTTACCAAAATGTCGCCAAACTACCTGTTACCATACTCCAAAAATTAGCCCTTTCAGTTAGTCATTTTAAATTTTAGAACTAAGAACAAATATGTTCAGTTTTACATAAAATCCTAGCTAATGCGTTTAAACAGTGCCCAAACTATAATATTTTCTCCAAGTTAGGAAAAGGTTTAAAACATATATAAGTAAATACAGTTTTTATGCATCAGAAGTTTTCAAAATTGATGTATTTTTTGAAATAATTCTGCAATGAGAAGGATGCTCAGATGTACCCCCTGCTACATGGTTGCATAAAATTTTGGGCTAAAGTGCAGAATCGCCCATTTATTTGTTTGGCGCTTTTACAAGAGTAAGAATTGGATTTTTATCAATTTTCTTTGACTTTTTAAGTGAAAATAGGTTGATGTGTACCTGGATAAAGTCATGCACAATGCCATTTTTGTGCAATTCTGGGATTTTTTTAAAGTGAAAATAGGTCGATGTGTACATGGATACCGAGTATGTGCAATTCTTAAAAACGTGCCAAGCAGTGAGCGATTTTGCACTTTTCCCAAATTTTGTATGACAGAGATGTGGCGCTTTTGAAATTTCACAAGAATTAGGTAATATAATCAGAACTAAAGGTTCAGAAGGATTTAAACAACTCTGCTTTTGAGCTCATCGATCTAAAATTACGAGACAGCCTGCAACAGCAAAAATATATTTTACTTTGCTAATGCAGCTTCTGTAACTAATATGAACTGAAATTCAGTTTCAGTATCTACTGAAATTAATTCATGTGATACCAGTAACAAGCACACAAACACACATAAATTCATGCATATATATATAAGTTTGAATTTAACAAACATTCTCTATTCGTAAAAAGCATATAAGGTTATTGCATGCATACACGAGAAACTAATTAAATTATAAAGAAAATGAAAACATTTAAATTAGTAATCCAACAGTGCTACATATAAATAAAATATTGATATAATAATAGACAGCCCAGAATTCATTTGTGAGCTAGTGTAGTGGCTTATATTCGGAAGTAATTTATGAAAATAAATAAGCATTTAAAAAACAGCGATATTAAAACCGACAGCAGATACATCAAAAGGTATTTGTTTTACATTAATACATAAACTAAAAACATCACAATAGGTTACTAATATATAGCGAAACTAAAAATCTGTTTTAATAAACATAACATGAGAACTTGTTTCAATATATTAAGTTTAAGTAGCGGCATCTTATGCAAATTTTTATTTCCAATGAAAGTATGCGATGTTTAATGGTAAGGAATCGATTAAAAACATCCTAAGAATTTACGGTATAAACCTCACAAAATAAAATTTATATTCAACAGTGAAGGGTCGCTACTAACCCCTTGATGTTCCACATTATGGCAGGAACATCATTTGAATATGCCCTGTTAATTGATAAAACAAAAATAAAAACAGCACAAAAAGAATATTTTAAATACATTATATTAAGAATACTTAAACTCTTCAAAACAGAGATTTAAAGGTGTAAGTCACAAGTTTTCTGTTTTAGAGATAAGTTGAGGTGTTTTTACTCTACTTCTACTGCTCTCATGTATTAGAACCTCACGAATTTTATTACAAAATATCCATTTAGACATTTAAAAGGCCACAATTTTAATATTTTTACTTAAAATTTAAATTCATATGGTATTTAATATTGATATAGAATGTTTGAATTGTCAAATGATGTAAAACGAAACAATAATTAAGTAACATTACAAATGGCAATACCGCTGTCTCGTCTTTTTAACTTCTATTGCTTCATGTTTACATTTTGTCCTTGATTTTATGTGGTTTTTTGGAATTGGGTCGGACCTTCATTTTATTAACTTCATTTGGTTTTTCTTATTATAATAAATATTATTAAAAATAATTTTTATTGCTGTGCACAGAATTCAGTTACATGGTATGAATAAAATTTAGTGTTTTCAATCAGTAATTTACATTAAAAAATTTACATGTATTTGAAATGTTGACAGCATCTTTTGACAACCTAATCATTATTGGTCAGTTCAGAAAGATTGTTTACAATTAAAGCCCAGCCTGGAATGATGTAAACATATTGTTATCAGATTACTCTAGGAACTTTGAAAGGAAATAAGAATAGTTCCTGCCGAGTTCCGGTTTGTATAGCAGTGCTATATCTTTTATGAGTTAGGAAAACAAATCTTAATTAGATTTTAGATTCTAATTTTATTATTTTGAGAAGTTTTTGAAAATGCAAGACGTCAGTTCTTTAATAAAGAGCATAAAATTTTTGTTGTCATCCGAAATGAAACATCAGTTAAGGTTTGAACAAATAGTACCAAATATTATATGATTTTCATTAATTGTATACACTTTTGAAAGTGTTTCTTGGCTTATTGGCATGATATTGTATGAAAATTTATATGTAATTTTTTTTCTGCTCTCTCTGATTATATCAAACTCTATGAATTGTGTTAATCCTATTACTCTTAATGTTTAAAAAGTTTTTCTTTTAAAAAATATATCATTTTGAAAACCGTAAGTAAAATAACAGCAAGAAATAAGCTTTGCTATTTTATTTTTTCATTCAAATGCCTCATACAATTGAATATTTGTTTGATAGGTGTATTTATTTTCTTTGAAGAGAAAAATAATTTTATATCACATTCTGAAAAATAATGATAGGATTAAGAACGAGCGTTATCATGATCTAAGTTTCTTTTCCTTCCTTTATAAATGTAAATCTGTTGTATTAAGAGGGAAAAATAACAAAAATGTTGTCAGAATTAAAATGTTTCTTTATAAATAGAAAGATCCGACTGATGTGATAATTTTCATATCAGAATCTTCATATCAGAAATCAGTATGTCATGTGCAGTTTTAAAAAATATTATTAATTGTTATTAAAATTTTCGAAGCCTTTTGAAACTTTCATCTGATTATATTAATGGTCTGGTTTTGTTTAACAGGCAATTAAATCTGAAAAATAAATCAAATAATTATTTCGTTATTATTACTAAATAAATAGTATATATTTATGTATCTTAAAATATGTTAACGATCTCATAATGATAAAAGTGCAGTTAATCTTTGGATTATGGTAACTTAACGATTTTTTGGCGAAAATTTGGCGGCCAACCCTGCTACAGCAACCTGCTAGTTTTTGTTTGGACGACATTTTGTTTTCACGAAGTAAAGGCATGTTTTTTTTTTTCTTTTACTCAACATTTTTTTCAACAATCTGCTAGCCAAATTACACTTATGCTAGAACTTTTATGGAACAAAAGTGCTTAATCATGACGAAGATTAGGTGAGAAATTGGGAGAAAGTGCAGAATCGTCCACTGCTTGCCCCGTTTTTAAGAATTGCACATACACAGTATCATCCATGTACACATCGACTTATTTTCACTTAAAAAAAAATCCCAGAATTGCACAAAAATGGCATTGTGCACACTCTTGACTTTATCCATGTACACTGCTGAAGTCCTAGCTAGTAACCTTTATCGCCTTACCAAAATGTCACCAAACTATCTGTTACCATATTCCAAAGATTGTAAATTAAAAGACCATTTAAATTTAACGAGAGTGCAGCACTAGTTTGACATTGGCTCAACGTGGAAAGTTCTGTGCACTTTGAGGTTGGCAGTCATTATAGTGGCGTAGATCATAGCTCGTCTATCTAAAAGAACCCTTCGGTTGTAATTGAGGCTTTACTTCTATAAATTTCTTTTTCCTTAAGGTGATCACAGGTAGAAACATAAAATCTGGTCAGTGCAGAATGACATGAAGCTTGAAATGGGAGTCTCGGATGAGAAGTCTCAATTTGTACAGCCATCATCTTTGTAGCTAGTATGGGTAAAAATCTTTGTGAATAGCAATATAATTTGTGAATAACAATTAAATATCATTTCACTGAGTATTTGTAGCATAAAATTTGGTAGAAACACATAAAAGATGAGAAGTAAAATAAATGTATACAAGTCCTACTAGGTTTGAAGCTCACAATGGGAGAGAAAGCTGAGAAATTTGACAAAAAACATTGTAATCTTAAATAAAATAATGTAATGAAAATGTATACAAGTCACAGAAAATGTTCCATAGAATTTGTCTGTTTTCGAATTTGAAGCCTCTTAAGTAGTCAGTGGCAGTGACTTATCCCGCTCGGCTGTCGTACACTGTTCAAAGCAACATTAAAGTAAAATTAGCAGAGGCCAAGGATTACCATATGGCATCGTGATGTTTCTTACAATTTTGATCGAAAGTATGTGTGACACTAAGATATTCCGTGTTGATAAGTAACATATTCAAACTGTTATGAATTACCACCGAGTTTTGAACAAATCATGGTGCATTCAGAATGATACGCAAGCATTTATTTTGCAAACATTGTAAGATGTTCCTGTTTATTTTTGCAGCTGCTGCCCAGGCAGATACTGCATTAAAGCAACATTGGCCCTATTGACTGCAGGCATAAAATTATTTAAATATTGAGATTTAGACTTAAATTTCTTCCTAATTTTGGGTAAGGGCTCATAAAAGCTTTGCAAGCTTTATCAAGTTTGTAACTGATATAGGATTTGCAACTCAGTCTTTCATCTAAATAGACTTCCAAATATTTAATTTTCTTGCCATGTAATATGACATTTCCATTCATATTGATATCTGCCATGGTTTGACAATCAGTGTGCTTGCTTAAATAGACAACAGAAGATTTATCTGCATTTATTTTTAATTTCCAGATGTTGATCCAGTGATAAAGATGATTAATTGGCCAAATGATAAGACCATCAAATACTGGTAGCTTGCTTTGTGTTCCCAATCAATAGTCTAGCTGTATAGATTTCCCCATGTATAAAGTAAATACAAGTTTTCTTGCAAAAGCCTTTTATGATTCCCCCCCCCTTGTAGATAGCCTTCTTGTGTTATACAGTGTTCAATTACAAATAAATGCAGTTCTCATTTCATCAGAAAGCAAAAAATTATTATTTTGTGAAAGGAAGGGTCATTTCAAGAGCGAACCCCCCTTTTCCCATAATGAAGAGTAATCCATAATAATTTGCCTTCAAATTCCTGAGTTTTTCTATGAAAACTAGAATCAGTCTAAGACTGTAACATGTCTAAGCTTAAATTTCAAACTAATATGTTTCACTTTAGGTATTAAAAGATCATTGCATAGCTGTATTTTAGGCTTATGACAGTAATATAGTCAGATTAGTTATTAAGGCCTAAGTAAGATTCCAAAATATAAGCTATAAATATTATATTTAGAAAAACTGGTGTGTAACTTTCTGTGGTACATCCTTATTATAGTGACCTCCAAAGTGTAGCATGTACAGAGGTATTAGAACACATGGTGAGATTTTTTTATTATTATTATTTTTTTTATTAACATTTCAATTTCGGGGAGCCAGGGAGGCATAGGAGTGGGTATAAGGAAGTACCAACGAGGTGTAAGAACATCTGGCAAGATTTTGTATATTAAAATGTTTGAACATGAACATCTAGTTTTTCATGAAATAGCTACTTTTGTGACAATATAGTCACAGTCATTAAAATTTAAAATCATTAAAATTTTTCAAAGCATTAAATTTTTAGAAGTTTGCTATGCATAATGTTAAGGAGTTCGCTGTGCATAAAGTAACTATTTTGTATTATGCTGCTAAAATTAACTTTATTTTCTGCAGATTTGGCAAGATGATGGAACTTTCCCATAGTTTAATTTTGAATGAAGAGGCTCTTCAGCAAATACCAGAGCCTAAGCGACCTATATTCATCTTTGAATGGTTAAGATTTCTTGATAAAGTTCTAGTTGCTGCACAGAAGGTAAAAATCTATAATGTTTTTCATGTAGTTTAATGTAGATATTGTGGCTTTAATTATTTTTTATAGTTCTTTATTCTGAAATTATATCATATGAATATTTTGACTTGCTTATTTATGGAATTAATCATTTGTTAACATATTTAAATTTTAATTTTTTAAAGAAAGTTCAGTAATGGTGTAGTAATGCTATCTACCACTTTTAATTATTTATTTACTTTTTAAATGGTGCATTAAAATTAGTTGTTATTTTAATCGTTTATTTTCTTTGCCATTTTATCGCATGTTTAAATAACTGAATAAAGTCACCGGTAAAAGTATATTTTTACCAGTACCCCTTGGTAAAAATTGGCGGTACATGGATACTGAGTTTGTGCAGTTCTTTGAATTGTTATTTTAGCTTGTGTAGCGGCAATTTTTGTGCCAAAACTCGCAGCTACACAAAGGCAAAATAACAAGACTTGCACAAACTCAATATCCATGTACACATTGACCTATTTTTCACTTAAAAAAATCTCAGAATTGCACAAACTTGACATTGCACACTCCCTTGACTTTATCCATGTACACATCGACCTATTTTCACATAAAAAAAATTTAGAGAAATTGCACAAACTATGCATTGCTCATTCCCTTGACTTTGCCCATGTACACATCGATCTATTTTCACTTAAAAAGTCAAACGAGCAGCCAACAAAAAATATATAATTTTAATAAACTACATTTTAAATCAAACAATCGAATAACATAAAAAGGGAAATTCATCTTAAGCACTACACAAAGGAAATATCCACTTTACCTTATTTAGAAATTTGCCGGTCAAACAAAATTCCTTAACAGCATCCAGAAACTTAAAATTATCTGAACTAGAACCTGTATACTGGCGTCGCCACATAAGTTCACAAAGATAAGAGTCAAAACATCCTCCGTAGTGTTGATATCCTCTGACCGTTTGACCATACGTATTTCCTTCCTGCAAACTGGACACTTATAATGGTTACTAAGTAAATGTTTATTTACACACCAGTCAATCAATGCTCTTTACCCCTTTTGTTCCAAATTGTACAGAAACTTCAAATTAATCTTACCACATTCAGCAATTCTACCATCTAAACTACAAAACAGACAATGTACTTCTTAACCTACACCGTAAACCCTTGCAAATCTACCATCACGCAGCCAATTACCTCATAATTGGGCTTCCATAACATTCCACTACTCAGGTTACCATGTTTTTAATCAAATTTAGTTTTGTATATAGAACAAAAATAATGACTCAGAAGTAATACATGTTAAAACATGTAGCAAAAAAGAAAATAAGCTTTTCACTCAAGATTTTGTATATTAAATTGTAATTTGTATATTAAAATTAACTTAAATTTTTAAAAATAGAAGTCTTTTATAGCCCTTATTTTAGTTATCAGTAATGCGGCTGATCAGTGACAAAATGGTTAAAACCAGGAAAGGCTGGTAGTTTACTCCATATGTTCTATTCCTGGCAATTGAAAAGGTTGGATGAATGGCATTTTCATAAATAAGTACAGGCCAGTTTTCTTATAAAATTTTTTCATGAAAGTACTATTCACATGACTTATAGATCTACTGTACTAATCTAGTACATAATTCTCTGTTTATTAGTTTGCTTGTTTTTTATATACTTTTCTTTCTAAATTTCAATTAGGATTTAAATATTTTGAAATTCAATCATTAGCTCATTATTCTAACTCTTTGTTTTTCAGTCTGATATAAAAGGATGTCAGAAAAAATTAGTTGAACAGCTTTTTAAACAAATAAATGAATCACCTGGCCCTCCAACAAGAAAGCTCATTGGTCGTTGCCTTGCTACACTCTTCAATGTAGGAGATGCATCTCTTCTATTTGATACAATCAATAAGTGTAATGACATTGTTCGAAATAAGGATGATTCTCCTAGTTTTTTACCTGTGAAACTGTAAGTAATTGATTAATTATATTCAATAATGGAAAGTTTCAGTATTAAATTTGAACTTATACATACCATATTGTTACTATGACATTTAAAATTTTAATCCAGAAAACTGTACTGTCAAATAAGTCTTGAAGTTTATTTAAAATTGAAAATTGTTGCTAATGGCTTAAAAAAAAACTATTTTAGAAAAGAAAAACAATATGCTGAAACATTGAAGTAATGTGTAATTGTCTGGCTAGCTTCAGAATCTTTTCCATAACTTAAAATACTATGAATATTTTTAGATCTTTTTCTGCTTGCTAGAAATTTTTAAGTATGTACACAAGTTATTTTTCTGTGATATTTCTGGTGGTATATTATTATAATGAAATTTTTAAATATCAATGATAAATATAGTTATTTTTATGTTAAATTTTTAGTATATTATAAAATATAAATAATCAGTAGATTATGTAAAAAATATAATTTCATTTTGATAATTATTTGGAAGTATGAAAATCTTTTCAGTCCTGAGATTTGCATACTGAAACAGTTTTGACTATCATTGTAACATTAGTCAATGCTAAAGCTTTTAGTAACCATGAAACTGTACTAAAAATTCTAAATAAATATTTTGGCAGTAACAAATTATAGAACCTTGATTTTCTTCTGGGGGAGAAGAAATTACTTCTAGGGTAAATTTCATAGTTTCTGGGGTGGAATGAGGTATTTAAAAAATAAAAATCACGGTATATAACAGAAATTGCATAAAATTCTGGAACGATTTATACCAGAAATTTTCTGTCCATTATTTCCTCCTTTCATTTCAGCTGATATTTTGATTCTGTCAGGTCTTTTTAGCGGTTTCCCAGAAATGGCTTACATAATATTTAACAGTAAATTCTCTTTAAAAAATTTTCCATTTAAGGGATTGCCCTTAAATCTGAAATATGTTGTACAGTCAAAGATTTTGTTGTGGAAATACTGTTTATTGAGTTGAAATCTCATTCATTTTGGTACTAGTAAGCATAGCACAGCTCTGTCAACATATGCTATCATTAAAATTTATGACTGAATTTATATATGTAATAGACCATAAATTGAATCATTAATGATCAAAATGCTTTGTACTTTTTATAAAGAATTTGTAGAGAAAATTGACACTAAAGGAATAAATGAGAACACTTCCCCTCCCCTCTCAATTTATTGCTGGCTATTTTTTTCTTTTCATTATCTAAAACATGCTTTCTCATACACGAATATATTTCTGTTCATATGTCCATATCCATGGGCTGCTTCATTCAGATGAATATATTGTAGAACTAGTTCTATGTACATCTGTTGTAGTCTTTTTAATTGAAAGAAACAGTTGACTTAAATTTAGGTAGAAAGTTATTAGAAACTACTCTTATATACTCCCTCGTTTGGCGACAAATTTCTCGCCAAATATTTTTGGCGAGAAACTCCGCTTTGTCATATTACTATGTAAATTTTTTGTCTACATTTCGAACTTTAAGCCTGAAATGTCTCCAAAAACGCGGTTTTCGCTGGTGCAAAAACCACATTTTAAACACAGAATTTAAGCTAAAAATCTGAAACAAAAACAAAAAATTTAGATATCAAAAACGTAAAGTTTCTAACCAAAAATATTTGACAAGAATCCATGGACACAGAGAACAGAATTGCACAATTTATGCAGTGAAGGAATCTATAAACTGCACACACCTCACTTAAATAAATTAACATAATAGTAATAAATTTCAAATAATACCATGTACACAGCGTTCTGCTTAAACTTAAAAGAACATCTACGAATTGCACAATCTAGGCATTGCACACTAATCAACAAAATGAACTAAAATAAATTACAAATAATTCAGAAAACAACAATAATGACAGAAATAAATAAATAAATAAAAAAAACGATGAACATAACATTCTACACAATAAGAACAATAAAACAAAATACACCTACCATGAATGAATGCTTCTTCGAACAGCAGAAATATCAATTTCAAACATCACCAAAAACAATTTCACCACAAATTTGTTGAAAGAATCTTCTCCCGTTTCTGAACAGCGATGGAAAAACATATAAACCACCAAATAAAACTTGAAACTGTATTTCCAATTATAAGCAGGCAATATAGCTATTACATTCCCTATCATATTTATATGACAGCCAGACTCACTATCCATAAAATTGATACTATCTTTCGCAAATAAATGTTCAAAACCTTCTCCTAAATCCTTGTAGAATTTCCAGCCACCCAAAAATATAGTTGTACCAGGCACGCAACTAAAATTTTGCCAACACATCTTTCATTGTATCATAAACCATTTCAAACCACCCACGTCATGAACCATCTAGCAACTAAAACCACTACAGCAAAATCCAAGTTTCCACATAAAAAGGGTTGCCATAGAAAGCAACATCGCCCCCAAAACCATTGCAGAGCATGTAATCGTGCCAAAACCCACATATCGCCACAGTTGGCCACTTGAGGGCATATATAAAAGTAGTACCAGTTATTATTATCCATTGCTAAACAAACAGAAAGTTGTTGCTGTTCCCTATTGCTAAATTCTATAGCATTGCTCTCAATTTAATGACAGATTTTTTTTTCTGTAATCACACTGAAATGCACACTGTGTTTATGGTTATATTCTTAAAGCTAACTGTATATTGTATATTGCAGATTGCATATTTTAAGATGTCAGTCTTTTTTTAAAGAAAACTTTTTTAACCTTTAAAAGATGGGTGGCCTAAGAATCGGCCAGAGCTACAGTGTCTCAAAAAGATGGCTGTGGCCGAAATATCAGCCAAAGAATTCCCTCCCCCATCCTTCAGGGTGCAGAGATAGTCATTGTCCGAATAACCTCCCTTGCCACTTATGCGAGTTGACCTTTGCGATGAACAGCAGAAAAGAGAACAAATTCTTTTATATTGTTCCCTAGTTTCTTATCTGAAAATTAACCAAGGCGACCTTCAGGAAAAGTTGCAAAAGAGTAGTAGTTTCCCTTTACAATGGCAGCTAAAATGGGGGGTGGGGGGAAATACATTTGGATTTCCCGTCTTTTTAAGTGAAACCTTTCCAAACTCCCCATCTCTTAAAGGTTAATAATGTTTTTAATACTTTACATAGTAGCTACTGTAAGTATCTTATATAGAATCAAAATTTACTCTGGACTGATTATTCTTATGCAGATTATCCATGTATTGCTCTCTAAAATGTTTTCGGATTAATCAGGGCCATCATAACTCGTGGGCCTACTTGGCCCTGTGCTTAGGGATCCCATACTATCCATTTACAATTAATTTCTGAGTAGTTGTTATTGGGACCCAGCACATTGGTTTGCCAAATGTCTCATAATGCTGTTAAGATACCACTGTAAATGAAAAACTCATGACATTTTAGAAGAAAGTTATAATTTTTGATGCTGTAAATCTTAATGCTAAGTTTTAAAATAAAGCATCAAGTTTTAGCTAGAAAAACAAATTTCTCCAAAGTTTTGTAATACAGGAAGATTCTGTCAGTGAAGATAGAGCATATCAGTCTTCACTGAAAATATTTCTAGTGCTTAGGATTTTGAAAATACAATTGAATAAAGACAAAAGTACTGAAGCCTAAAAAAAATGTATCTTATTAAGGCACTTTACTGCAGTAACCTGAGCAGCCAGTATAAGAATCCATTGGGACACTGGAATGTAATCTTCTGTTGCAGTCACCAGCAATCAGTATGAGACTCCAAAGAAAAATAGAGATGAGGGTGAATGGGGAATGTGTCTGTGTTAGGGTACTAAAATGTGTAGGTAGGAAAATGGATTGGATTGGATTATTCAATTATGGCAAAGTACACAAGGGCTATCTGCCTAAAGGGGAAGGATGCCTTCGTGGAGGACTTTCTAAGGGAAACTGGCTTGTATACAGGTTACATATGGGGAAAACCATGAAAACGCCCATGCAGCCAGCCCATTCGCAGGATGTGAACCTCAGACCGAACTACCAGTGTTCAGTGTCTTTACCGCTCGGCCGCTGGTGGGCCAGGTAGGAAAATGTTGTACATTGTGGGCAAATAAATGAAATTCAAATTTAATACTATTATGGATTTGTTTATACAAAGCTCTGTGTAAGAATGTCATCATGTATCACAAAACAGAAAACAAAACAAAAATAGAAGATAGAAAGAAAAATTAAAACTAAACATGGTGCTATTTTTTATTTTTTAAGTTACATTCAATTTTAAATAGCATATTATATGGTGTGCTTTAAAAATCTCAAAAGAATTCATTCTTAACAATATTTGCATATTAATTGTAATTTTACAGAGCTGTTTTAGAATTATTTCTGCTTTCCATTTTTGTTACATTCTGCTTTGTTTTCCATATCTGTGTTTCTATTTCCAGTTGTATCTGTCATTAATTAACATATGTAATAGAAAGTTCAGTGTCATGTACAAATGCATAAAAGAGAGTAGTATGTATACATGGTTCAACTGTATTTGTATAAATTGAACTACATGATAAGAAATACTTTTTCTTATAGCGCAGCAGTGTCTTGCCTAGGTACTATGTACCAGCAGCTTGGTCGAATGACTGGAAGATCATATGAAGAAACTGTTTACATTTTGCTGAAATCACTTAAAAATGCAGAGGTATGATAAGTCTGAATTTCTTTAAAATGAAAAGTTTCTTTTTAATATAAAACTGAGAAAATAAATATGTCTCTTCCGCAGAAGGGAGGATTTTTATGTAAAAACCAAATGTATTGCATAATTTTTAGGATATGATTAAAATGTTGATATATGCAGCTATTTTATTTTTAAAAGGTATATCACTTTCAACTTTGTTTAGAAATTAAACCTCATTCATATTTTCCCCAGAAGATATATATTGCCATCTATATTTTTGAATAAGTTATTAGCCTAAATTAATTGTAGCATAAAAAATATCAATCATTTTAAATAAAAACAGATACTTTTTGATTATCCGCACCCTCACTAAATAGTCAGGAACTTGTTGCTGACTTTGTAAAGCAACTGCAAACTAATTGGCAACTATTTTTTTGCTAAGCTAATGTGCAAAAAGCAACAGCTGCTTTAAAATTGATGGTATGTTGAGAATTCCATGTAAGAGCAATCAATCAATGAAATTGTAAAAGCAAGAAACATTAATAATAAAACTCTTACCATTTTCAAGAAATCCTTCTTTTTGGCACTTTTGTTCTTCCCATTTACACAGCAATCTGTTTTTGCTTTAAAAAATCGGAGAATTGCCCAAACTTGCTGTCATACTATATAGGGTATTGCACCAGCCAAAACAGACATACTATATGTATACCTGGGTTGCCACATAAACACTTTTTGGTGACATTGTGGGCTGCCATATAACTTCTTTGATCAGAGTCATAGCTAGGGTTTTTAACACCTGGAGACAGCTGAAGATTTCGCACCTGCTCTTGTTTGCCAAGAATGGAAAATATTTAATTCTAAATTTTGTAACATCGGGTTGGCTCTAAGTGGATGCTGTGCCCAGGGACAGATGTCCCTCCTTGCCCTCCTATAGCTATGCCTCTGACTTTGATGGCATACTGCTTTGCCTCGTGAATATGTCTTTGTAATTTTTCTGTAGGGCTGTAGATAATCAGAAAACACCTGAAATTTTCTGTATATTTAAATTAATTGTATTGCTGAAATATGCAGCTAGTAGTTAAATTGTGAATAAACAAAATCATCATTTTATCAGAGTTAAATATTTTAGCATTAAATTAATATTTAGTTAATACAATACCTCTCCCCCTTATATGAGCATGAACTTGCTTAGTAAGCACGAACTCACGTAGGGCAAACACTCAGTTGGTGTGAACAAAATTTGATTCCTGCCAGTGATTATATGATATTATAGTATGTAAATGGTTAATGTGAAGCAAAAACTATTCCAAAAATAAAAATTGAGTCCCCAGTCAAAGCTAACTCTTTATTTGGTCCTATGAGATTCATGTTAACGAGGGTTTACTGTATTTATGTTAAAGTAATTATACTATTTCAAAGTCTATAATTATGCTTGTTTTTCTCACTTAACTATTCGATATAATTATAGTATTATTTCTTAATAAGCTTTTTGTCCAATTAAAACTTAATACTTTATAATAAAATATGATTAAATAGTTAAATATTTGACATGAATTTTTTATATGAATTTTTTATAAGAATCATGTTTTGCACGGATATCAGTCTATTGAAATATGTTAATTCATAGTTATATACCTAAAATTAAGAAATAAATTGATCAGATATGTTGTATAAGTATCTCATATTGTTGCCAGTAGTATCATCAAAGTATATCAGCCCAATTCATCATCATCAGAATTGCCAGTTCTATCAGAAACGTTAGCCAAAGAAGTATATATTGGTAGTAGAATTCTATGGCATAATACGAGTATGTTCATAAGCAGAATTTTTATATATGTATAAATGAAAGCTTGCCTTTGTTGTGAAAAATGAATAATGCTAATTTTCATTCTTTACATGTAAGTCTCAAACGAGATGTGAAATAATGATTTCAATGGAAAAAATTGTATCTGGACTTGGAAATGCTGCCACTTCAGTACATAAAGATATATTCAAAGCTCTACGACACTGTTTAACAGACCGTGTAATGACTGTGAGATGTTCTGCAGCAAAGGTAATGCATCTTACTTTGGTTTAATTTTTTTAAAGTCCTTTATCTGAATATTAGTTGAATAAAATTTTAAATAAGGTAAAATTTAATGATATTTTCTATAGATAAATAATTACTTCTTTTTAGCTAGTCTGAAACTAAACATAGTCTAAGTCCAGTTGCGTTATTTTATATTTTCTGTTGTGCTGAAATTAATTCAGCATAAGCACATGTTAAACATTCTGTCACTAAACTATGATCCACATGTATTATAAATTAGTACTTGTTATTTGAAACTTATATGCCTCTAATTATATCTCATTCTTTTCTTTAATGAAAAGTCTTTAATGAAAGTTATTGTTGTGTGGTAAATATTGAGCTGAAGAGTTATTGTTGTGTGGTAAATTTGAAAAGTGTTTTAATTTTTTGTGTGAAATGAAGCAATTTTTTTATAGGAAGGAATAGTTTTATTTAATTTTGTTTTTGACTATATTGTTTCAATATCTTTATGATTTCATATTTGAAGAACTTGTTCTTATTGACGGAAAACCGAAGGTTTATTATTATTATTATTATTTTAACACCTTTATTTAAACCAAAAGTTTTATGAACCAAAAAATTTATAGAGATACAGTTTTTATAGAGGTCAAAACTGAATGGTGTCAAATCTGATGCATATGATAGATACTCTAGTGCATCTGATCCAAGCTGTAAAGCCCATTTCTACTGGCCCATTTCTTCATATGCATTGTATATGCAGTTTTCCAGTCAGAAAGTAAATTCACTTTTATTGACACATATGATGCAGTGAACAGAGACAGTCTGGAGTTGGACCATGTTCAACATATCTGGGGATCTCATATCATGAAAGAGCAGCAATTAGATGTTGTCAGTAAAAAGTAATGACAACAGTAGTAGTGATTAGCTTCAAGGAAAGAATACAATATTCCTTAAAAATACTTATTTCTGAAGTTCAGAAATACCAACATTGAAGTTCAAAGTTCAGAAATATCAACATTGTAATGAAAAATCTGCATATTGAAGAAGATAGTAAATTTATTAGCCCAAAGGGGAATTAGCCCAGAAGGACTATTAGTCTCAAAGCAACTCTTTGCATCAAATCACCAAAAGCATTGAATTTCTTTTCAAATTGTCATCACCAAGAATTATATATAAAGAAATTAAATAATAATATAGAATCTGCATGAATGTATGCATGTTTCTTGTATTGTGAAAACAATGGTACCTAGAGCCATCAAATCTTGTCTGTTATAAAATGATCAAATTTTGACTGACTGACTTAATGTAGTCCTTCACCATAATTATGAAGATCTGGAAGCTTGAATTTTGAATTTGTTTTATTATCCGTTTCATATTTTGTAAAACTGTAATGAAGTTTTGATTAAAGTACACAGTGATTTCAAAGCAAGAAGTGGCAACACTGTACAGAATAAAACATTTTAACCTCCAATGTGTGAGACTATTTATTAAAAATTCTAAAGATATGCTGTTTTCAAATACTTTTAGCCCAAAGGGACATTAGCCCAAGTGCTCTCAAAACGTGTATGGGCGTATATCAAATTTGAAAGATTCCTAATTTTTTTAGGTATTTTTTTAAAGATAACAGCATTTTCAGTGCTAATTATTCTTATTGAAAATTGATCAGTATTAAGAAATTCAAGCTTAATAAATGTTCATGTCGATGAATTGGCAAAAACTTTGCATGATAAGTATTTCTTAATTCTAGTTCTGCTTACTGCTTTACTTTTGTATGATAAGTATTTCTCAGTTCTAGTTCTGCTTATTCCTTTACTTTTAAAGAAAGAAGGGGGTAACTTTTAGCTATCTCAGACTTGTTGCAGGAAATGAGATAAGACATTGGCAGAATTTTCTTCTACCAGACAAAAAGTTAGTGGCATTCTTTAAAAAAATTAAATTTGAGAAAATCATAAATATTCTGCTTCATTAAATAGCATATTTAATTTATATGTTTATATTTCTAAATACATTTGTAAAAGTATGTTTTAGGGTTTCCCTTCGCAAAACTTGGCGATTTTTGGTGGTACATGGATACCGAGTTAGTGCAATTCTTTGACTTGTTATTTTGGCCTGCATAGCGGCGATTTTTGCACCAAAAATTGCTGCTGTGCAAGCCAAAATAACAAGTCAAAGAATTGAATAAACTCAGTATCCAAGTACACATCGACCTATTTTTGCTTTAAAAAAAATCCCCCAAATTGCACAAAAATGGCATTGCGCACTCCCTTGATTTTGTCCATGTACACATTGATCTATTTTCACTTAAAAAAACATCAGAGAATTGAATAAACTATGCTTTACACACTCCCTTGAGTTTGTCCGTGTACACATCGATCACCCAGTTCTACAGTAGAGGCAAACAAAAAAATACATAATATCAATAAACTATATTTTAAACTAAACAATAAAATAACACAAAAAAGGAAAACCTGTTATGTATTTTAGCACTACATAAAGCAAAAATCCCCTTACCTTATTTAGAAATTCGTTCGTCTTCAGTCTGTGGCACACAAAATTCCTTAACAGCATCCAAAAACTTCCTAAAATTATCTGAACTACAATCCGTACATAGGCATCGCCACAGAAATTCACAAAAATAAGAGTAAAAAATATACTACGTAGTTCCGGACTATGGCTACTAAGTTAACCTTCATTTACACAATTAATTCACTTAATTAATGCACTTTTCCCCTTTCGTTTCAAATCGTACAGAAACTTCAAATTAATCCTACTACATTCAGCCATTGTACCATCTAAACAATGAAACAAGCAATGTACTTCCTGAGCAACACACACCACAAAAACCCTTGCAAAACATCCCATGATTCAAAATTTCCCAGAATAATGCAAATGATTACAGCCTAATAGGGTTTCCATAACATTCAACTGCTCAGGTTACCATAAATGATACAACAACTTAGCGATAAACGAAACAACTTGGTGATAAATGAAACAACTTGGCGATAAACGAAACAACAACTTGGCGATAAATGAAACAACAACTTCGCGATAATAGAAGGGGTACCTTAAAGTCAACTCTAAGCAATACATTTATTAGTTTGAATATACCTTTTTGGAGACCTTATTTCAAATTTGATAATATTGAAGGTGCTATATTTCAATTTTTTTTTTTTTTGGTAAGAAATATGCTAAGAGCTTAATGGGTGGTAAATGAGACCAGGATATATTAGTTACATGAGACCAGGATATTAAATTTACAAACTAATTTAACTGCATAAATCAGTTTTGAATACGTTTATTTGTATCAGGAGTGTAGAGGTAAGGGTAGTGTGGCTAGAATTTTGGGGTTGTGAGTTCAAGTCGCAGAGTTTTACTGCATATCCTTTTGTTTACAACTTTCTCTGCTTTGTATACAACTGTTTAATTATTTATTTATTTTAACTTTATTAAACTTTCTATTAATTTATTAATATAAATTATAATATAATTATGTAATATATATAATATAATATAATTATATATAAAAATTAATTATATATCTAATATATAATTAATTATATAAATAATATAATATAAATTACAATATAATTATAATCAATTTAATATAATTTAATTAAAAAATTATAATTATTTTCACTAATATAAATTAGTAGTAATTTTCACTAATATAATTAATATATTAGAAAAAACTTATAAACTTCTGTATAATATTTTTTTAATAAGGGAAATAAAAGCATTACTTATATATAAGGCTTTCAACTTATTTTTGTATGAATGCACATATATGAGCAATTACTTAGATATCTTTTATTTATATTGTCAAGAAGGGACTTTTAAATCACCACATTTAAAATTTGTAAACTAAAATTATATTTTATGCATTGTGTATAGTGCATTTTGAAACATTTTTAAAACCTAAATGAAACTTCTATTAAAAGTCCAACTCTGAAGTTTAAGTTAAAATTTTATGTTACAAAGCCTCCTTTTTATTTCAAAATTTGGGCATGTTTAAAAAATATACAATCTCACGTGGCAGTCAGTTGTACACATACTGAAAAGCATAGCAGATTCTGTGCAAATATTGCGAAACTTTCGTTACAGTTGCTCTGTGTTTTTAAAGTGATAGCTATTTTTAAATTAGTGGTGTGATTAATTTTGTTTTATATTAATAATATACTTTATTATGCATTTATACATATAATTTACTTTATATATTATATTTAATGTATATTATAATATATTTATTAAAATAATCTGTAATATTTTATATATATTGTAATATCTTATTATGGATATATATTATTCACAAATATTTAAGGCTTCTTGAAATGTAGAGAATTTTTTTTTTTTTTGATTACTTTAAAAATAAGCCTCTAATTGATCACAGATATTCATAGTGTGCATTTTAAACACATTAGTCTAAAAATTACTAGCATGCTTTTTGATTTCTTCCACAATCAGTTTAAAAGTTTACAGAAAACGAATTCAGGTAGCTTGAGAAATTTTTTTAACTCATCATTCATCTTTAATGTGCAGTTCCTTCTTAAATGTTAAAATTTCTCACCTTTCATTAATTACTTAAAATCTGCCAATTCTGTTAAATTAAAATTCACTTCTGTTAAATTAATTGTGGAATAATATTTATTCAAATTACATGTGTCATATCTTTTTTGAAAAAAAAAATTATTATCTAAGGCTTTATATTATTATCATGTATCTGTATGATAAGTATGTTTATTAAAACAGATTGTCTCCATTACATTTCTATTACAGATTATTGGTTGATTAAATGTGAGTTTTGTTTTAGAAAGTCTGGGCTTCTAGTAGTAAAAAATCATGAAACAGTTTTGTTATAGATAATTTATAAGTATTCTTTGGTGAGGTTTTTTTTTTTTTTTTCTTTGAAAAACAGCATGCATATTTAAAAGGCTGGAAATCGGTGGAGTTAGTGAAGTAAGACAGACTTTTTTTTTTAAAATTACAGCCAACTCAGTTAATGAAAAAGGAATTTTCCTACTTTTAAAGCAAACTGCAAACATTAACACCTAATATTAGGATGATATTGGATAGTTTTTTCTTTACTTACATAGACTATAGTAATTCTTCATAATGCTAGACCCATCTTTATTTGATCTATTTTTGATGGACAGTATCGAAATTACAGTACTTCATCTACATGTATCTATTCATCTGTTTTTAAAAACCAGTGATGCCTAACAGCCAGTGTTACAAACATGTTCCAGAAGTTGAATTTGTTTTTTGTTTCACCTAATTGAAAATATATTGACCAAATCATTTTTAAACTGCTCTTTTTACTTGTAATCAGTTACAGTATGAGCATGTAGCAAAAAAATCTGAAATATTATATATCATTTGCTTTCTTATATCTAACAAGAATGTTCAACTTATTTCAGTTCTAGTAGAAATTGAACTATGTCTTAAATATTTGTTTCAGTGTCTTCAAGAAATGCTGAAGCACTCCCCATTTCTCTACACAACAGATCTAGAAACAGTAGCATCTTTATGCTTTAGGTCCTTTGAAGGTTCAAACTATGAAGTTCGATGTGCTGTTTCTGAACTTCTGGGTATCATTGTAGCTACTACACAGCAAGTATCTCATCCAGCTGGTAAGTTTTAAATTTACGTTGATTTTAAAAAAATCTTCCACAAATTTTATAGGTATATCTGGAATACTAAAACAAATTGCTTTTACCTAGGTGTGTGTAGCCACAAAATGCTTTGCTTTCATGTTTTTTTGCTAGAAATTGTGTTGAGCAGTGTGAGTTATCATTCAAGTTGCTAATGCTGAGGGACTGAAAAGCTTTCTGCTTCTTGTTTCTGTTTGCTCATGATCACCTAGTTTGTCTTGTATCGAGTTTTCTTCTAGGGGTATCACAAAAGGCAACAGAATACAGTACTCTTTAATTTGTTGCTAGTTATTGAGTCAGCAGCACATGTTTGCAAGAAACTTTGCATTTTTTATCATTGATCCATGTTTTTATTCTTATAGCTTCAATGAAAGAAATTACCAGTTATTACCAATTAGCAGTTTAGAAATTACTGTCAAATGCATGTCTGCTAAATGTATTATATTAGTTTACTTGTATCAGCTCAGCACTAGCATGCTCCGGTGGGATTTTTGGCTAAATATGCCCATGAATTTTTTTTTAAAGAGCTGTTATTGTTCTGTGTCTCTTAAAATTTGTTAGAGACATTTGTATATTTTAAGAGATTATTTTATATGTAGTTATTTTATGTTAATCATTTATTGGTAATGGAAATTTTCTTATTTCATATTGCAACTGAAAAGTCTTATGCAATCTGTAATAGATGCCCAGGAAGCAGTATCAATTAATTCAAATTTCCCCATGTATTTAGCTTTAATTTAACATATCATAATTAAAAGTAGTATATGATATATAAAAATATATATCATATACTGCTTTTAAAAAATATACTATTTATTTCTTATTAGCATATTTTCAAAAAAAAAAAAAAAAAAAACTGTTCGAGAAATTGATAATACTCATTGATAATACTCATAATACTCATTGTTCGAGTACTCAAAATAATTGATAATACTCAAGTTGACTGTGTAATTGATAATTAACTCAAATAATTTATTGATATACTCAGACTAACTGTTCAAGTATATTAATATCTTAAAATAATATACTTGTTTTATAATTTAAATTAACAAAAAAGTAACATAATCACTTTAAATTTTAGTTGGGAAAAATCGTTTACCAAGTCTAGAGGAAGTATTGGGATTGATGGCTTCTGGTTTTCTTCGTGGTGGCATTGGTTTTCTTAAAGGTAGTGCAGGTGAAATGATCAAAGGTGGCTCTTCAGTCAGCAGAGAAATTCGAGTTGGAGTTACTCATGTAAGTCAAAATATTCATTTTACTCCAACGTGGAAAAAAAAGAGAAATCAAATGAGAATCAAAATACTTTGATATTCCTTCCCCTTATGTAATGGTTTCTGTGTTATGGATGTAAAAATTAATATTTTGATTATTTAAGCTGTGACATTTCTTACAAATTTAACACACAGACTAAAAAAATTTTTACAAGTGTGAAAATTCAATTATTGTTAGTAATTTCCATTAAATTTCATTTTAGGCTTACGTAGTCTTTATCCTAAAGCTTGGTGGTGCTTGGCTTGAAGCCAATTTAAATACATTGTTGACACATCTCTTGGAGCTTGTAGCAAATCCAAAAGCAGTTCCAACTCACGTTGATGCAGTGTACAGTCGAAAATGTGTTACCTTTATTCTTCAGTCAGTGCTTGGCAGGTTACTAGGTGAAAAAGCTCAAGCTTCAGCTTGTAAAGAACTAGTTCGAATCATAATAAAACATGTAAATGAAGGTGAGTTTTGATATTGAATTCATGTATGTATTAAAGTACGAGCCCTTTGTTAAAATTTACCTAACTTATCGGTAGTTGTCGCATCTGACATAGGAAAGAAAAAAATAGACCAGTTTTAAAACTTTTAGACCTTTTTCTTTTTTTAAATATCTTTTTGTTTCTGTCCTGTATGACATTTATTGAGGCTGTAGAATAAAGAACTTCATTTTATGTTGAGATACTTCTGTGTTACTTTGTAAATTTCATGTACTATTAATTTTATTATATTTTGCAAATTATCTCTCATATTAGATTTTTTGGTTAAATTTGTACCGATTATTAAGTATAACTGTTTTCTATGTTAGATAGTTCTAGTGAGACCTCAAGTAAAGATAACTCTCAAGATGCAGCTTTAAGTCAGCATGTACTTGTCTGTGCTTTGCAGCAACTAGGCTCATTGATAAGTGTGCTAGATACGACTGCTGCCACAATTGTCTGTGATCCTTCTGTTGGTATGTTTTTAAAGTGTATTTTATAATGTCATAATTGCAAGTAATTCTTTTTGTTTTGTATATTGTTTAATACATGAAATGCTGCATCTGTTCGCAGAGACATTAGACATCGGAGAGTCATTAGACCAAGCAAAATAGTTAACATGTTAATTGAATATATCAAAGTACACAAGAGGATTCAAACAGAGGTTAAACTACCAGTGTTCAGTAGTCTGCCAGTGGATAACACTTGACCACTGGCAGACTGTGCAATAATATCTCTCATATTATATATGATCCTCTGCAAGCAAACAGGTCTTAATAATGATACGAATCCTCCCAAAAGCTTTAATTCTTTAACATAGAAGACTTATTATAATTTTTGTTCATGATTTAATACATGATAAGTAATTATAACAGAAATTGTGTTTAAACAAAGAATAAAAATTGAGACTCTTTTCCTCATTCCTTTCTTTGAATTTTGAATAATTGTTGGTTAATCTTTGGATTATGGTAACTTGGCGAAAATTTGGCGACCAACCCTGGTACAGCAACCTGGTAGTTTTTGTTTAGTTTAGTTTAGTGACGGAGGACGTGGGCACCATCCCTTTACCGTTATGGTTAATTGGTAATAGCACCACGTCCACCCTTATATAGAGACTAGTGGGACTACAGGTCATACTTTACAGTACTTACGATATCGTACAATATAAATAAACCATACAATTTCCTACATATGCATGATACAGTATATAATCAAACAGGACTATTAAAGCATAATGCTGGTGCGTATACAGTTAAAATGCAAAAGTTAAGATGTAAAATACTAAGTATCGATTTAAGTTATATGACTAAATAATATTATATTATTCATGCATAAAAACCTTAAAAAAAATAAAATAAAAAAAATAAAGAAAATTAAAAAAAAAAAAAAAAAAAAAAAAACATCCTACATATGCATGATACAGTATATAATCAAACAGGATTATTAAAACATAATGCTGGTGCGTGTACAGTTAAAATGCAAAAGGTTAAAATGCAAAATACTAAGTATCAATTAATTATATGATTAAATATTATTATATTATTCATACATAAAAACATTCAAAAAAAATAAATAAAATAAATAAATAAAAATAAGTAAATAAATAATGCACTGTATATATATATATACATAGAATATGCCATACAAAATAATACACATACACATTAGGAGCAGAATGTGGAATATAGGATCATACAAATACAGGATCAAGTCGTGAGGATCATTGAAAAGTACATACTTAATGTGCTTCACAAATTCAGCCATAAGTATCATTCATACAAATGTAAGCATTCTGGAACAACAAAAACCAATAATGGTGTACCCTCATATTTGCTACAATACACTACACTGGTACAGTAATTTCTTATGAAATATTTTTACTTTTACATTTCAGAGACACAAAATTTGATAGAATTTGTACTGAGTGACTATTTGAAAGGGTACGTTAAGACTGTGGTAACTAATAAGCAAAGTAAACATATTGTTTTTCATAGGGGGTGCATAAGATACAGTACAATGATCATTTCATTAGATCAGTCCGTTATAAGAATATCACTAAAATTTATAAATGTAGCATTAAACCAGAGTTTACCACGAAGATTATGTACTTTGCATCAATGCATTATGCCTATGAATGCTACACCTGGCACAGGTCTATTCCAAGACCTTTAACCTTTTCCATAACCTTGTTAATTTTATTAATCAAGTGCCTCTGCTTGATTAGAAATTTGCAAAAGGCTTGACGATTTTGCGAAGGGAATCTGATATGTAAGCCTTCTGTAAGAGGGCATTTTTCAAGGTAATGCTCCGGAGAGCCTAACTCTCCGCAGGTGCAAAAGCTGGAATCGCTTATTTTAAATCTCTCAAAATAAAGAGGAAAAGGGCCATGCCCTGAAATATAACGTGTCAGATGGGGATTTCCACAGCATCTATCTTGTGTAACGTAAGAAATATGGTAATAAGTACGACGACCAGTGGTACTATAATCCCATTCTTCTTGCCACTTACTGATTGCTTTGAGACGTAATGCAGATTTCAAATGTGAATGCGGCCAAGGTATGTGAATTTGTTCAGCAGCAATTCCAAAAGCGGCCTCCTTGGCGAGAGAGTATCTGCAACTTCGTTTCCATATTCACCCATATGTGCCTTTATCCAAGCTAAGTGGATGTCATGGCGTTGATGTTTTCTAAGGTCTTGTTGAATATCTCTAATGATTTTGGATGGGTGTTCTGGATTACTAATCGCATAAATAGCTGAAAGGCTATCAGACTTTATAGTAGCCTTTAGGATTTGGTGGGTTAGCAAGTAGCGAATAGCTTGCGCTATTGCTACTGCTTCCCCTTGAAAGACACTGTTATTGTTAGCCAAATGGCCCTTCCATTGTGCAATGACACTATTTTTTTTGTAAGACAGCAAATGCGCTCCCCACATTTCCTTCAATTTTAGATCCATCCGTATAAATTACTATACTCGAGGGGCTACGGTATTCTGTAGGCGGACATGTAGTCTAATGCCAACACCATAATCCGCAGGGTGAATGCTGTCAGATGTTAGTTTGGTTTCATATTCCTCCGAAGTAAAATTTTCTTCAGCAAATGCTATTGGCTTGTGTAGCTGTATTAACATTTGTCGTGTGCTGCTTCCTCCTCAGTTCTAATATGCAGTGGGAGCAAACCAGCCAAGACATTTATTGCATCAGTGGAAGTAGTAATATATGCCCGAGTTATTCCTAAGGCAAAAGGGCGCTGAATAGTAGAGAGATGCTTGATTTTTCTCCTCTGCATAGGGAGAGCCCAAATTGCTGCTGCATAAGTTACTAACTTTTCTACAACCGTTGTGTATAAGATCTTTTGAATGTGGTGGTTCAAACCCCACTTGTATCCATAAAATTGTCTTAGTTGTTTGGCGATGGCCAGGGTACGCTTTTTAATAGAGAGAACATGAGGAATCCACGTAAGTTTTTCATCAAAGGTAACACCAAGATATTTTAATTCTTTTACAATTTTGAGCCTCTGACCATTGAGTACAATACGCGGTCTCCTTGCCAAAGAGCCTCCCTTCTTAGGCACCAGTAAAATTTGACACTTATTTTCTGCTATGACTAATTTCAGTTCGTCACAATTTCGCTGGAAAATTTGACAGGCCTCATTGCAGTTCTTTTGCAATTCTTCACGAGAATGTCCCTTGACAACCAAGGCCGCGTCATCGGCATAGGCAAAAATGTTCGTATGCGCAGGCCAGGAAGCATTGAGTAGCTTATTGAAGGTTAAATTCCAGAGTTGAGGACCTGCGCAGGAACCCTGCGGGCATCCTCTCGTCTGTGACTTTTCAATAATTCCCGCTGAATGTATAATCATTATTCTTCGATCCTGTAGATAATGATTTATAGTATTAAAGATATTGCTTGGGCAGCCAGAACTTCTTAGAGCCTGCAAGATCGCTGGCCACCATAAGTTGTCAAATGCACTCTTCAGGTCTAAGCTGATGAGTGCTGTATGGAGACCGTGATATTTGTTGTCCATGATAGCCTCTTTGATATCATGCAAAGCGTGTAAAGTGGAAGTTCCTGGCCTAAATCCATATTGCCTGGGACTGAGGATATTATTAACGTGTAGATAATAGCGTAGTCTGGTCATAAGGAGTTTTTCAAACAGTTTACCAAGAGCCGGAAGTAAACAGATTGGTCGGAAAGATGTGGGTTCCGCTGGATTGCGATCTTTTTTCAAAAACAACACCACTTGTCCGATTTTAAACGATTTCGGGAATGTACCCGTAGCTAGTAATTTATTGAAAAAGCTAACAAAGATTGTTGGCTTGGCCAAAACGACTGTTTTAACGATTGCATAATCAATGCCATCAGGGCCAGGGGCCTTTTTCTTTGGCAAATGCGCTAATATATGTTTTAGTTCTTTCAATGTAATATCCCTATCCGGTGGCACGTTGGTAGACATCTGTTCTGTACGTATAGTTGCTTGTTGCTTAGAATCTTCGGTTGGGTCATCCTGACTGAAGACGGAATCCAGGATCTGTATTAATGTTTCCCTTGTGTAGTCCTGAGTAACATTTATTCGTGTAGGGATGTGTAACTGGGCAGGCCTAAACAGCTTTCCAGTCATAATCTTATGATGAATACCATAGATGTTTTGTGACTCTGTACAAAAAGCATGCCATGAATTGATTTTAGCCTGCAAAATTGAACGTTTGTACTTCGCTCTTGCCTGTTGATAAATTGGGAGGGTCTTAGCTGGAAGGTTTAGTCTACGCTCAGTCTTTAACCTTCGACGTAATGCGCGACATTGCCTCTGCTGAATACGAAGTTCACTACTCCACCAATTGATCGTAGTCAGTTTTTTAGTACTACGCTGTGGCAATATGTCATCACACGCTTGCTGTATACACTTTTGTAGAGTCACTGTGAAATTCTCCAATTCGTCTCTAGAGTTCGCTTGAGTTAGCTGTTGTTCAATACCTTCAATCAAATTCTTGACTCTAGTAGTAAAAGCACGTTTACGCCTACCAGGTAGGTTGTAACGACGAATAATATTAATTGTCGTCGGTTGCTCTATTGAGAAAGTAATGTAACGATGGTCGCTTAAGCTAATTTCATCATTAACCCTCCAATTTTGTATTAATGGCGCAGCTGAGGCTGAACTGACCGTCAAATCAGGCCAGCCTTGTGCGTAGATTCTGTCATATGTCGGAGGCAGCGTCTGCTGTGTTATGTAAAACAAGATGATTAGCAGACAGAAAATCCTCCAGAAGGCTTCCTTTGTCATTCGTAGAAGCATACCCCCAAACCGTGTTGTGGGCATTATAATCGCCTGTAATTATTTTAAGAGGAATTTTAATCTTTTGCAGGGTATCTGTAAGAAACTGTGTAGTAGCCAAAATATCTGCAGAAGGAGGAGAGTATTGTGAGATAAACAGTAAAGATGCTTCTTGTGCTTCTATAATGATTGCAACATTATCGCGTTCAATTGCTACGATAGCCGGAGACCATTTTTTGTTGCAGTTAATAATAATGGCCCTAGGAGGATATTCTACATTTCCTTGTTGATAAATTGTCCATTGCAATGGAAATCCCACTGCAATTCCGTCTCGCGTGTAAGGTTCCTGAGCCATTATCAGGTCAGCACCAAATTCTGCTGCAAATTGTGCTAGTTGAGCAACTGCTGCTTTTGCTCGCTGTAAATTGATTTGTATACATTTGATAGATAATGTACTGCATATTGTATCTTTATTTATGACGTTTGATAAATCAAGATTAGCAGTATTCTGTATTATCTCGGATTGACTGTACCTTGCGCTGGTATTGTGGGCATTCTGGAGCATAGGCTGGATGGAAGTAGCTGTATTTGGTGCCATAGCGGGAGTTGGCCTCACCACAGTTGATACACTGTGGTTGTTGGGCTGTGCAATCACGGTTCCCATGTTCTTCTGCACAGTAGGAGCAATATTGTTTTCTACTTCTGCAGTCAGCTTGCTTATGCCCATATTGCTGGCATCTAAAACATCGCTGGAGGCCAATATGCTCTGAGACTCTATGAGCCTGCCAGCCGAGGAAGATTTTTCTGTGCTGCATGATGGCTGCAAAGCCTGTCGGCTCACACTCAAAAACCCACTTGATTTTGCCTTTACGACGTTCTTGTAATCGGAATAGGGGTTTAAAGGTGGTGCTAGGCATTCCAGTGACGCCGCTGAGTTCTGCGAGTACTTCTTCTGATTGTGTGGATACCGGCAAGTCATGGACGGTGCATCTTGGCTTACGTTTCCATGGACGGGTGACTTCCGCTGGGATATCTTGTTGTTGAAGCTGTTGTTCGAGGATTTCGACATCTTCAGTGGATTTACAGACAACCTCGAAACCTCCTTTGTTGAGCTTAGAAATTCTTTCTATACCTGCCTGTAGCTTGGAAAGTGGTACTTTAGCGTTTAGCTGCGCCTTTAGCTCAGTCTCTGTGACGTCCGCTTTGGGACGTATGTATAGACTTGGATTCTTATGTTTCTTTATAATCTCTGCAAAAGTTGGTCGAGAAGCTGTTGGCAAAGGTGGAGGTGCCTGTAAATCAGGTGGTTGTTGTGCTATCGGTAGAGGCTGAGAGCGAGCCAATTCACAGCAAAGCACTGTTGATGTATTAACACCTGTGTCTATCTTTGTTGGCTTGGCTGCTAATTCTGCACCTTGTAAGGCCAGCGTCTGCAACGCAACCAGGGAGTCTAATAGTCTGGTGCGAAGAACTGTAGGTAAAAGATATTTAGTACTTCTGGTGGTGGCCGCTACCTGTCTAATATCCTCACACAAAATAGCTACTTTCTCTGCGTAAGGCAAATCAGAGGTCAATAAATTAGTGGCGTCTACGTCACTTTGTGAATGCGCGGAATCACCGTCAGTTGGAATCACTGATTGACAGGACATGCTGTCCAAGAACTTTCTCAGAGTTGCAAATTATCACACTCGTAGTGTAACTCTTTATCAAATACTTAACGTAAAATAGCTATTGCTTATTGCTGTATAACAACCAATATATGATAAAATTTGGTAACAATAGGTCCCTTTCACACCCAGTAACAAGAAATTACAGTAATTAAAACATGTAGTAGAATAAGTAAGATACTAAACATAATTAACAGATGAACTATGACTAAAAATTCTCTAAATACAATCAAACTGACTGATTTTTAAGTGCAAGTAGAAACATAAAAATACAAGTAATTAAAATACAGCAATTAATACAGTAATTAAAAGATTAAATAAACATTTCAAGTAATTAAAGGTAAAATACAGAGTGCATAAAGATCAGTTCTCATGTAAAACACATCAAAAGCACGCAACTAGAGCTTTAAAACTAAATTTTTAGAGTTTGTCGAATAGTGTTCAAAGTTATCGAAAAGTTATTCGACGACGAGAGCTATAATGTCGAAACTGAAGATGAAAACGATGGAATTAAAAACACTATGCAAATCCTGTAAAAATGTTAAACATTTTGAAAAAAAAAAACATACCAGTTCTTGAAATTCCTGGTTGCAATGGATCCGAAAGATATATACATATATTTTAATTAAAAATTAATTTCTGGACATGGAATATTTGGCCGATTTCTTAGGCCTACCAGGGGAACCACGTGGTAGCTAGGCGGGACCCTTCCGTTGCTGTAGTGGCAGAAGTGGTGAACAAAAACACGGTAAATTGCGACTGCCTATTTTCTTTTGTTAGAAGCACTAAAACACAAAAATCGGGAGAAATATCACTCACACACACTTAAACGATGTATCCAAGGATACAGGAGATATTCACGCACATTTTGATATATAATACACACGTCGCACTCAAAAACTTCCACTGAAAATTGAGCAAAAACCAAGAGCTCGGCGTGATGGCGTGCTTCCTCGTTGCATACTCCGGCGTACTGTGCTAGTTTTTGTTTGGACGCCATTTTGTTTTCACGAAGTAAAGGCGTGTTTTTTTTTTTCTTCTTTCTTTTGCTCAACATTTTTTTACAACAATCTGATGGCTGAATTATGCTTATGCTAGAACTTTTATGGAACAAAAGTGCTTAATCATGACGAAGATTAGGTGCGAAATTGGGAGAAAGTGCAGAATCGCCCACTGCTTGTCGCGTTTTTAAGAATTGCACGTACATGGTATCATCCATGTACACATTGACCTATTTTCACTTAAAAATACATCCCAGAATTGCACAAAAATGGCATTGCGCACACTCTTGACTTTATCCATGTACACTGCTAACCTATTTAGTAACCTTTATTGCCTTATCAAAATGTCGCCAAACTACCTTTGCAATATTCCAAAGATTAGCCTAATTTTTTAACAAATGAAAATAGATCTGTTGTCATAGTATTCTAAATTCTCCATTTTAGAAGTTAATTGAAAATAAGAGTATAATCTAAAATACTTGTTTCTTTTATATATTAGAAATGTGTAAAAATATTTCCCATTATATAATTTCTGCTAAAAAAGCATTGAAATATTTTAGATAATTAAAGAATTAAAATTGATATTGATTGATTCAGCCAAGATCCTTCTCAAGATAGACTTAATAAATCTTATCAATCATTTTTCTGATTTCCCATCAGATAACTTAAATAGATAAAATATAATGAATTAATCATTTTCTAATTGAAAGATATCCCCAGAGTGGCTTTTATTCTTTACAATTAATAATAATAACTTAATTTTAAACCAAAGATAAATTTTGCTTTTCCTACTTTTTAAGTTAAAAACAAAAATTAATTTACAAAAAAGATTGAAATTTTTTAATAAATGCTTAATTAATCCAACTGAAATAAAAATGAAAAAGACACTGCCTACTTTTAAAAACTGAATTAAAGGAAGAGCACTTTTTTGAAATGAACCTAAACTTGTTAACATTCCAAAATATATAATAATGTCTATATTCTTTCCTTTTCTTATATGGGATAGAAAAAGTCAAAAACTGTAATTTATTGAAGCTATAATTTTAATTTTTATAATAATAGTAAACATGCGTGGGGTGTTTTAAGAATGGCTTCATAAAATATTTGAATTGATTCTATGCTGTCAATCTCCGCTGTAATGAAGACAACTTATAATGAACCTCCTTATATAAAGAAGAAATCTTTTGGTTCCATCCAATTTCCTTTGCACGTAATGTTATTTTATACTGTTATAGTAAACCTCCAACACTATGAAAATAGTGTATAAATAAATATCTTCGATAGAATTTTTTTCTAGTATTTCTGCAATTTAATGAAAACATAAAGCATTCCATTTAGGATATTCTTATTCCATCTGTGAAAGAAATCACCTTTTCTTTTACTATTACCTACATTTTTCTCTGTGTTTTAAACAAAGGCTAATTGAAACAGGTGTGACACCCAACTCTAGGAGAACACCAATACAATAAGCATATTTTAAGATACCTTATTTATCTGAATCAAGAAACATGGATAAGGTGTTTGATTCCATTGAAATTCCTTGACTGAGCTGGCAGACAGAACTGTATTCAAGGTTGATGCTATAATAGAAATCTTGAAATTTTCACTATTTGAGAAAAGAGGAAGTAACAATGGGACTGCAGTTTGAACAGTTGATTCTTCCTTCAGGTAATGAGAAGTTTTGATCCTTATTGATTTGCTGAGTCTAAATGCTATGCAAGTTCTCTCCTCTGAAAAAGAATTTTGCATTCTTTTGGTCTTTTGGAAGACACAAGGTATTCTTTGTAAAGGTTATTGAATTTTGTATTGCAACCATACATATTTGCACTCAAAATTTCTGATTGCAAAATAATTGTCATAATTACCTTCAAGATGAATTCATTGTCCTGTTAGTTATTTACTGTCAGATAAGAGTGAAACAATGGAAATTGTTAAATCGAATTTTTTCAAAAGGCTCAGAGTATTAATTATGTGGCATAGGTTACCTCCAGACACCTTTGAAAAATCATATGTTATCAATTTGAGTGTACATAACTCAAGATACTGTTTGCCATCTATGGCATTTTTTGTTCAAGTAATTCATTTGTGAATTTAATTTGTTCATGAGACTAGGTGTTCATTATACAAGCTTTCTCGGTGCTGTAATTTTAAAAAGAATAGTGTGCTCTAAAGCTGTCTTTGATATCATCTGTTTTTCTTCTGTAATGTTATTTTATGCATGTGTTGTTATAATGAATATTTTTTTGAATGTAATTCTAAATTTTATTTCCAGTATTGCAGTTTTCTTGTTATTTTATGTAATCTGTGCATTTTTCTTTTCTAGGAGTTCTTGAATCAGTTGTCTCCGTTCTTGTGCATTCTAGTTCTGCTGCTCGTCTAGCTGCAGCCTGGTGTTTACGTTCAATTACAAGTGCAGTGCCTACTCAGCTGACACCTTTGCTAGAGCGTTGTTCAGACCGACTGGAAGTCTTAAAATCTTCTCCTGAAGCCATTGCTGGTTATTCTGCAGCTCTGGCTTCTTTGCTTGGAGCCTCAAGAAATACTCCTTTGGGAATACCTCAGAATCGTGGCAAGGTAAAAGATTTTCAATCTCTTTATACTCCTTTGAGAATACCTCAGAATCGTGGCAAGGTAAAAGATTTTCAATTTTATTTATACTCTTGGTTACTCTTGAAAAAATTATAATGGATGATTATTGATCTTTATTATTGGATGCAAAATATGGGCCATAAGTAAACTGGTAATAGTTACTAAGCAGTGAAAAGAAAATCTCGCATTATTACTGCTGGAATTATAAAGTTTCAAATTTTTCTTTTCTCTACTTGCCATGTATTATGCCACATACTTTTTAAGTAATAAGCTAAAACATTTGCAATCTATTGCATAATTTACTTCCATGTTTGCCAAATGAATAACTCATAGAATAATAAATGGAAAGTTTAATTTGTACCTGATTCTTTAGTTATTTGTAAATATTAGTTAATTGTTTTTAATTTGTAATTTTTCTTTTAAATTTGTTTTCTGTAATTTGAATTTTCAGATGATATTTAATGTTGCTGAAGATCTACTGCGGAGTGCTTCACAGAATAGTAGACTTTCTTTACAACGCACTCAAGCAGGATGGCTGATGATTGGTTCAGTGATGACATTAGGTAAATATCCTAATCATAAGATGCTATTGTGCTGCAAATATGGGTTCTGAACAACATTTTATCTCAGATCAAACGCATTGTATAATTTATAGGAAAGCGTGTTTGAATATTTTTCTATATATATTTTAAAACTTTAGAGCTGTATATTAATATGAAAAATTCATTTATTTTTGTATTAATTCCCGTTTAGCGTATTATTTATTTTTAAATATAATATACTAAATTCTGTAAATGGTTATAGTAGTAAAAATTAGTAGTACTATATCTACTAAAAAATATATATCACTTGTATTTGACAACATATAAGATGCACTTTTTTCCTAAATTTGGTCTCAAAAAGTTACCTGCCTCTTATACGTGAAGGTAATTGCATTCAATAATTGTTTATTTGGCTTTTACAAAATGTGAGAACTAAAAGAAACTTTTTTTTCCTTGTGTGTGGCCGTCTAAATAAGGGTGTGTCTTATATGCCGTCAAATACGGTATACGAGGGCTATCCAGAAAGTAGATTACGTTTTGGAATAAAAAAATAAACAAAGTATAGGAAACAAATTTTATTATATACAGATGAAAGCCACACTCAAATACTACTTTTCTACATAGTCACCATACAAATTAAGGCATTTATCGTAGCGATGTACGAGCTTGGAAATTCCTTCGTCGAAAAATTCGGCCGCCTGCGCCTTCAACCACTTTTTGGAATCCATCTTGCACAAAACTTGTGGTAACCAAGCTTTTCGCTGATGATTTCGTGCAACAAACTTCGCGAAATTTGTGGAAAACTCAAAGAAAGTTCCGTTATTGTGAAATTTCGATTTTCACGGACTTTAGCATCGACTTTTTCGAGAAGTTCGGCGGTCACTATGCTGGGTCTCCCACTTCGATCTTCGTCGTGAACATTGGTTCGGCCATTTTGAAATCTTATGACCCACTGACGCACTCCACCTTCAGTGATAATGTTGTTCCCCATACACTTCACGAAGCTGCCGATAGATTTCTATCGGTTTACAGTTTTTTGCAGTCAGAAACCTTATTACTGAGCGCACCTCGCAGCTCGCGGGATTTTCAATTAACGCAGACATTTCAAACCGTCACAGTATCTGAACGGAGCACAGCACGAAGCTCTCACTAGCACGGCTAGATGCAGACTGAGCTGCGCAACGCTCTGACCCCAAGATGGCCGCGCTAGCCCCGCCCCTAGCGGACACAGACGGAAACGTAATCTACTTCCTGGATGGCCCTCGTATTTTCTTTTACAACTCCTTATTGTTAATATGAATTATTAATAACAATTTACAAATTTATTGTAGGACCATCTGTTGTAAAAGGTCTTCTACCACGAATGATGTTGTTATGGAAAAATTCTTTTCCAAGATCTAATAAAGAATTAGAACAAGAAAGGCATCGCGGTGACGCTTTCACATGGCAAGTCACCTTAGAAGGCAGAGCTGGGGCTCTTGCTGGTGCGTTAAATACATTACATTAAATGAGAATTTTTTTTAAATTACTAACAGAGTTAAACTGTAAAATGGTCTTAAAGTTGTGTAAAATTGTAATTTAAAAATATTGACATCCTTACTACTTCACAGTTTAGATGTGTTTATTAATTAGAATTTGTAGATTAAATCTGTAGTTTACAATATTTTGTTCATTAATGGTAAATGCTGCAAAAATATCTAGGTGTTTATCTTGTAAAATCATAATATGTTACAAATCATATAATTAAAATACTTATCATGCAAATAAATGCGGATGAAATATTTGAATCTTCGAATCAACAAATCTTAAGAAAGATTCAAGATTAAAAAACTTGAATCTTTCCATTTATTTCATCATTCCAATCTTTGAGACCCTAAGCTAAGAGCTGTTAAATGTTTTAACTCAAAATTTTGAAGAGATTAATTTTTCTGATGTTCACTCAAAACATTTATTTTAAAATGGCATGTGATTATTGAAGTTTCAGTGGACCTGAATACAGTATTATGTTGTGGAAGACCTGAGGACCACATTATTAATTTTTTAAAGAGAATTTAATGTTCATCTTTGGTGTTTATCTACGTTAACTCCTGAAATAGTCTTCTCCTTTTATATCTGCTTTAATTTAAAAACGATTCTCGAATACATATAAAATATATGAAGTGTACTCAAATATATTTCGTCGAATTATTTGAGGGAAAAGGACATCAAAAATTTTAATTATGTTCCTCATTTACAAATTTCCATTTGTAACTTGTTAAAAAATCCAGGTGTATTTTTAGAAACTGTATTTTTAAATCTGATTTTTGTTAAACATAGATTGCAAATTTTACTTGAATTAAAAACTTTTGAATAAAATTTTTATCTTTCTTACACAAAGGCTTTGGAAACCTTTTTGTATACAGATTTAAGAAAATTTAGAATTTACTTCTCATCTACAAATAAATTAAAATGTAAAATTGATAGTTTAGTGATTAGTATCGTAATTAATAAAATAGAAATGACTATGTAGAGGATAATTTCAGTTACTAAGAAATAAGACAGTAATGATAGTGTTAAACTGTATCATCTTATATATAGGAGTTGTGGTTTGTAAATATTTCATCACCTTACCTCTCACACAGCTAGATCTACAATTGTTCTGTTTGTGTGTTGAAAGTCAGTTGCCGTCTGCCGTCTTTACCATTTACAGTACCTGCTGCTTATTAAACTCACTAGTTAATAAACTCAGCCACTTATTTCTTTAAAATTTGCAGGAACCAACAAATACATACTAATCAATTGAAAAATTACTGTTTATTAAACTCATCTTCATTGCTTATAAAACTCAAACATGACTAAAGCTGAGAGTCACAGAATATCTTTATGTTATGATTAACAAAAGCAGTCCTGCAAAGGCATTGGAAACAAGTTCTTGATTGTAAAAGAGTGAGTGTTTCTCAGGATTAAAGAAAAGCTGGTGTTAAGAGAACACTGGTTCTCTTTCTCGAACACCAGCTGATAGGGGATGGAACTGCTAACACATATTAAGTTTGCAAGGTGTTGTAAAAAAATATCATGAAATGATTCCTTGCTATAATTGTACATTATCTGTCCTTGATTTCAAAAGAGGAGTGATCATTGTACGCTGAAGGAAAAAGAAAAAGAATCATTGATTATACCTATAATAACCATGAAGTAACAGGTTGACTTCACAAACAAAGTGCAAACTTTCTACTGGCTAGAAAAGGAAATTCTGGATTTGGACAAATCACTAAAAGAAACATTTTTTCTTTGCTCTGTTTGTGACTTGTAACATGTTAAAAATGGCTAAGTGAAATGATTTAAGCCTGAAAGAAAGTATGATTTCCCGAAAGATTATGATACATTTGGTGGATGTAGCCAAAGAGAAGTAGCATTTAAAATGGGAATTTCCCCGACAACAGTGTGCAGTTTACTCAGATGTACTCAAAGAAAGAAAGAAAACTGATAATGAAATAATAAAAAATGCAAATGTCTCAAGGAAGCACAAAAAGACTCGAGAGACGTCAAATCAAAGACGAAATGGATAATTAAGAGATGTTGAAACTTGTCTTCTAGAATGATTTCAAGCTATTAGACTATAAAATGTTTCAATTTCTAAAACTCTTTTCATCACAGACTTTGTAGAATTTGCTAAAATGCTGGGAAAAAATTTTATGCAAGCTGATGGATGGCTCACAAGATGAAAAGAGAGAAATAACATTGTTTGTTAGAAACTATATGGTGAAAAGCAAGTGTCAAATCATCATTCAGCTAAGAACTGGATAAAAGATGTTGTACTTGGGGTTCTAAAAGAATCAAGCCACATGAAATTTATAACACAGATGAAACTTTGTTTTATAAACATTAGTAGAGCACATGTTAATGTTGAAAAGTGAACCAGTAGCTGATTTTTAGAAATTTAAAAAATGAGTTTCTGTGTTATTAACATGCAATATGGATGCTAAAAGTGAAACAGTAGCTGATTTTTAGAAATTTAAAAAATGAGTTTCTGTGTTATTAACATGCAATATGGATGCAACAATTAAAAAGGCACCATTGGTTACTGGAAAAAGTATAAAACCTCGATGTTTAAAAGGAGTCAAGAATCAAACTTATAAGAATAATAACTCATTGATAGCAAGCAGTATTTTAATGATTTCCTTTTGAATTGGAATAGAGAACTGAAAAACAAAAAAATAAAAGCTTTCAAATGTCATAACAGAAAACATGTCATTCCAACAAAGGTGAGCAAAATTGACTCTTATGAAAAGGCAAGTACTTTGAATGAGGTAACTAAGTCGATACTTTGCTAGAGGTAATACATATTGTTATCAACATATGAGGAAAAAGTCTTCTAAAACACAGTTGCATCCATATTGCTTTAAAAATGCAGTTTTTATTTAGAAGAAGCCTCAAAGGAATTGCAATCTGTTTCTAATATTCTAGGCATCAGGGAAAGAAATTATGAAGATATGTTTTCAGAATATGTAACAGTTTATGATAATATTGAGGTAGTAAGTGACCAATATTGTAGAAAGTCTTAAAAGAGCTGCAGAAATTGAAATTGACAGTAAAGCAATATGGAAGAAAGTAACTAGATATCAGCCTCAAGAAATCTGAATCAAGGAAATCACTGCAAACCCTAAGATCAACTCTTGAATTAAAAGGTGGAGATTAAAAAAACTACCAATAAATGTATGAACGTGAAAATATAATTGCAAAACTCTTGATGAACAGTACAAAACAAATGCGGATAGAGCAGTTCTCTGTAAAAATAAAAATTTCATAGGTTTTGTAACAATAAATTTATATATACAAAAGAAAATCTGAAAGCTTTCAGATTTTATATCATGTCCAAATAGGCATTTTTTTTATTTGCAGATACATACATATTTTGAGAGCATTTAGGCTAATGCCACTTTGGGCTGGAAATATATAAAAACAACATGTTTTCAGAATTTCCACTAGACAGTCTTGCACGCTGGAAATAAAAATGTTTTATTTCATACTCATTTTGAAATTGCTGAGTTTTTTAATCAAAAATTCATTTAAGTTTTACAAGATAATGAATAGACAATAAAACAAATTCCAAATTCAGGCTTCCAGGTGGCCATGTTCGAGTTGAGGACTATGTTATTCAAAATTTGATGGTTATAGGTACCATTGTTTTTTTCACAGTGTGAGAAAAATACATACATTCAATGCAGCTTCTTCATTATTTAAATTCTTTAATACTGGCAATAATATTTGGTGGCAGCAATTTGAAAAGTGGTACATTGCATTTAAGTGATTCGACAAAAATGCGGTTTCGATACTAATAGTCTTTCTGGGCTAACTCCTCTATGGACTAATAAATTTCCAAATTTTGTAAATAATTTAACTTCAGCATTAGTTTTTAATTAGTAATTTAGGTTTTGATTATTAGAGTAATTGTTAGCTATTGTCTACTAAATAATTTCAAAATTGATGCTGTAATTTTGCAATATTGAAATCTCCATTTATTAAAATCAGCCACTTAATAAACTCAAATATGTTTGGAAGTGAAGTGATTTTAATAATCAGTGCGTATTATATTTGTTTTGACTTGTATGAAAGGCCTAAAATGCAAATGCTTGATTGCTTAAATATACAATTTTTTTTTTCTTTCGTATCCTACAGTTTTTCATCAGCATGCAAAACACTGCGCAAAGCTGTCTGAAAACTGTATGCTGTATCAGAATTGAAAGTGATGTTTTTCTGCAATCGTTACATAAAATGAGAACATGATGGTATTTTAATTCTTATGATCTTTCTTAAAATAAAAAATCTGCAACAATGTAATGCTTGTAGGTCTTTCATACTGGTTGTGGGAGAAAAAGGGATTTATGCAAACTGTTGGGGGAGGGATATGTATTTTTGATCGCAACATCTGTCATTTTATATAATTTTATTAGAATGAAAAAGAATGCATTTTATGGTAATATTCCATAGGGTTGTGATCTTTCATAAAAATATATTATGTAATGAAAATTTTGGTACAAGTAAATCTTCTGTTAAAGTATTATATTTAAATGTGTTATATTGAATATTAGAGCTTGTCGAAAAATTTTGTTTTCTAAAATGAATATGTAATTTTAATATTTTAAAAATTTAAGCAATGGCCAGTTTTCTGTTACACTGCAAAGATCTTGTTACTGATGAAGTTATCAGACGTCTTCTTTCTCCTATTGAATCTGCATTAATTATGCTTGTCAAGTAAGTTTGAAATATTTTTTAGAATCAGTACAAGCTCTTTTTCATTATCCTTGTTTTTAGTAAAATGTAGTTAAAATTGTGTATAAAATATCTCAGTGTGTTTAATTTTTATGTGAAAATGTAAAATTTGCAAGAAGAATGCATCCATTTTTGTCAAGAATAATACCAAACAAGAATTAATAAGAGCTTATAAATCACTTTTAATAAAAATCTCAAAGCAGCAGAAAATCATCCTTTCTTTATTTAGCTCTGCTTTCAATATTAGTAAAATATTTTGAATTAACAGGCTAGAAGACGGAAAGTGTAATCTAATGAAAACTACTAATTAAAATGCATGCTTGTTCTTTTTATCTTAAAAGATACTTATCATCTGATTACCTTAAAGGATTGAGTCAGCACGTGCATTGTTTTATTTTTATGTTCCCTTTTCTTTTTCAAAATGCTGAGGAAAGTCATTGAGGTTATATAAATTTATCTCATAAACAATTTAATATAAATTATTTAATTAATTTATCCTGATAAATTTGATTATATTTGTGGATTCACACATATTTAAATAAATACTTTCTATACCAAGAAGAGCATTCCACTGATTTAATTTTTTTTTAATGTTGCAGTAAAGAGCTCATAATGGAGCTTACCTTATGCAAAACAAAATTCAGCTTATTTTGTTCATTATTTTTTAATATATCTTCAGAAAAGAAATTTCAGAAATATATAGTAAACTGGAATATCTTGTAAAGAAAAGAGGAAGGAGGTATTTTCAGTGCAGAAGATTAAGCATATGTTACACTAATTACTGAAGAGAGAACATCTGATATCTCTGAGGTGTAATACAATGTGCTAAAGGGGATCTTGTTTTAATATTTATCATAGTTTTTAAATTTATGGCAACCTTTGAAAAAAATCATATTTATTATGTTTTTTTTTTTTTTTTTTTTTTTAAATATTGTAAAAATTAAGCTCTTACTGAACAATTAGAGAGCCAAAGAGTTATAGAGCTGTATAGAGCCAGCGAATCATACAATGTAATATAAGTTGTATACTGTGCACAAAAAAATGGGACATTTCTATATCTCCTGTTCTACTGGGACATTTGATGAAATTTAACTTGTGTTCTTCAGGTCTTGAAAGCGTGACTTAGGCTATGTATTATATTTATATATACCATTCTTCTAACGTAGGTATTTTGACACAAAATTGTACTTTTTATGAAATAACATACCCATTTTTTTCATATTTCGTTCATATTTCATTTTTCATATTAGATTTTATAAAATTTGACGAGAAACTTAAGGAGAAAAAAAATTTACGTTGGCGCAATTTTTTCAGTTTTCGCAAAGTATAATTCACTTAACAAAATTCTTAATTTAAAGTAACCTATCTTCCTTTCTCTTTTTTCATTGTGCATGAGAAGAGAAAAAGTACATCATTCATTCTTTCAAATGAATTTAACAAAATGCATAAAGCATGTTGGTGTTATTATCGCTTATAAGAAATATGCTAAATTTCAAAAAGCGCAAGTATATAAATTCACGTATACCTTTTGCAGTTTTGACTCAAAAAATTTTCAGCCTCTCATTTTTTTGCAGTTATGCCTAGAAATACATCTACTTTGAGGTGATGGTAAAAATTTTTTAGGTTATACATCAAAAAATTTTTCAAAAAATTTTGAAAAATTACTAAAAAATACAAATTAAAAAAAATCAGAAAATATCTGCAAATTTTATTTAAATTGAACCTAAATTTTGAACTGCAGAAGAAGGAATCAAGCAGGTGTAATAAAAAAAGAACTTTTAATTAATATATACCAAATTAAATTAACATTGAGATGCTAATTTTGAGCGCTAATTTTTTAAAAAATACTCATGTGATTTTTTACAAAACTTGGCACTTTGGCATAATTTGAATTTTAGAATTGAAATATGAAAAAAAAAAATGTGTATGTTATTTCAGGAAAAGTCAAATTTAATGTTAAAATATCCAAGTTAGAACAATACTATGTATAAATCTAATACATTACGAAGTCCGGAATTCGGACGTCCATTATCTGAAATGATGTAAAATCCAGACCTCAAAACCACCAGCTTTTTTCTCATAGGCTTTATGCATGCACATTTGATTCCCCCTCTGTGAATAATAAAACATTTGGAGAGTCCCGATTCTTAATTTCACTTTGACACTAAATAAAATACCTTGTTATTGAAGAAGTTATTTTAGCATAAATTTGTACGATCAGAAATTTGGTTTCGTTGCTGCATTCAAACCGAAACATTACCCATAGATACATCGTTGATCTGATGCCAACCTGGCGAATCATTATTTATTATACTTTACATTCATCAATGATTGTAATGACTCATGTAACAATGTCTAAATATTTTTTTATGTTAATAATTGAATAATAAAAGAGTATGGTAACCTTTTGTGTTGACATTACACTTGGTGATGATTACAAGTTAAATGTGCTAAAAAATGTTGACAGAGGGGAAAATTGACCCAAAATTTCTTTCCATATGCTAAAAATAGATTTTGTTGATGATACTCTAAGACCCAAAGATTACATTTAGAGCTATTTTAATTAAGAACAGCTGATTAGTTATTCACAAATCCAGAACCAGTGCCAGGGCTCGTAAGGCAGCACCGGGGTGCAGAATTTAGGACTAACAGAGACTGCATCAGGTGGTAAGATATCTAGTGCCGGCCCTCAATTTGTTCAGAACTCTGATAAGGCTTAAGCATGTGCAAGAAATAGACATAAGTATAATAAATAACTGTAATATAATTCAAGCTTAATTGTCTCAGTGCGCAATAGAAGCAAAATAAAATTTAATGGAACAACTTGTCGTTAGTCGTCAAGCTTATAATGCATAGCCAAATATATATAATGAACGATAGCTGAATTTTATGATGATAGGTGCGAATTTAGGTTTTCGGATATTGCAAAACAAAGGTGAAATTTTCCAATTAATTGAATTTGTAAGGAAATGTGGAGAAGCGGTAATGAATGAAGATGATATAAAAGGAGTTTTTTATTGTGGTGACAATGCTTCTCAATCATCAATCAATTAATGAATGGCAAAATCTGTAGTATGGTCCTAGATCCAGAAAATACTGCTACCGATAGTGAAGAAAGTGACAGAGAAGTTACTGAAAATGAAAACATTTTGATTGACAAGTTAGTCGGAATTCCCGACACAGCAGCTACAGGACTTCAACAATGTAACTAAACAAGAGATTATGTCTGTCTACAGAATTAAAGAGAAAGTATTAGCACAAAAAACGAAACAACTTAAACAACTTATATTGAAAGAAATGTCTAATAACAAATAAATATTAAGCTTTTTTTGTAAATTTTGATACCTTTTAGATCGTAAATACTTCATTATTTCATAAATCATGATTTCATATTTTTAATTTTATAATTTCTACATGCCATCTTACTAGATTTAAACTGATGGTCTAATACCAATTCAGAAGTCAAACAACAAAAATCAGCGTTATACCTACAAAATTTTCACAGGACTAGTTTCGATGGTTTTACCGAACCATCATCTTCAGCTGCAAAACCGCAAATGAACAAGATAGGAAATAATGATTAGATAAGATAAGAAAGCCTGGACAAGTATAATGGTCTAATATCCGAAAAAATCCCAAATCCAGAATTGCCGAAGTCCCGTCGAGTCCAGATTTCTGACTTTGTAATGTATATATCCTAATTTGTGCTTTCAAGACATGAAGAATTGAAGTTAAATTTCATCAATCGGTTCAGTAGAACAGGGGATATAAAACTATCCCATCCCCTTTTTTTGGTGCAAGGTGTACATAAGTCACTTTGATATTGAACCACTTAATTTTTCATTATGTAGTGTGGGGCATGTTTTCAAATCCTATGGACAGCATCTGAAAGCTTGTGCTGCTATGGTGCGAATGCGGCTGTATGAAGTTCTTGCACTTCTGCCTCCTCGTTCATATGAAGGTAAATTTTAGCATAACGTTTTTTAGAATTTGAGGAAGATATAAGGAACCAAATTAAAATATGAGCTTATTTGTAAAAAATATAATATAAATAAATTGCAAAGACTGACGTGATTAATGAAATATGAATATTTCAGAAATTGTCCTAGGTTTAAAATGAATGGCTTTAGATTTTGAAGAATAATTTAAATTTTAGGTAGAATGATGCATACATTTCTTTATTCTTGTGTGAAAGTTTATCATTTGATTTTACTGCTACATTTGTTTAGTTTATATGAGAGAAAACAAAAATGATGAGTCAGATTTGTGAAAAACTGCTTTGGTTTTTCTCCATTAACAGAGCCATAGCCAAGATCTGCACATGCAATAGTGATAGTAATATTGTGCAAATTGTGCCAAATATAATGACGTTATCGCCTTTTTAATCGAGATATGTTTTATATATGAGATTTTAACTTAGTGCTAATTTCTTAAAGATGTATTTTATAATTTAGCAACTGCCAGATAATGGAAATTTCATTATTAAATTCTTTCAGGAAAAGGATATTATTTAAAATAAACTTTACTCAAGTTATCACAAACTTAAATTATACTTTAGTGCTATTGCAACAGAGAAATAACACTGCAGTTAATGAACTAAATGTATCATTAGGGTTATCATTACTATTTAAGGTTGCATTATTACTGTCATTCATATTTGGTGTTGACTACTGCCATGCTTACAGAAAAGTACTCTGTATTGTGCTTTGCAGTATTACTGGTGTTTTTCATGTTTTGTAAATGGAAATCCATTTGTAATTATTCAGTAGTTAATGTGTGTAGGAGCTAGATTTTCAAAGGTGTGATAAAATTCAAACTTGAAAGTAATTAAAAGTCATAAAAATCAGAATTGTCCTTTTTTAATGTAATTATTGTAAACATTTTGTTTTTTCAAAGTGTTGTATTCATGTACTATATATAAATGTTTATAAAGGTTAGTTTTTTTTTTCTTTCCCCTCCTGCTATTTCAGGAACTTATAATAGCTTGCTTAGATTACTAGTTGCAGAGTTCACTTTAACAGAAAATCCTGCTAATACTACTACATCTTTGCTTCGAAGCTTATGCCACACGAATGACAGTATAATATTGGGATTTTGGTTACAAGAAACTGATCACAAAGCTATTGAAGATCAGGTAAGCATTTCGAGAGTCTTTTTGTCGTTTTTCAAAGCTTTCATTTCTCTTTTTTTGTATCAATAATTGTAATTGTGTTTGATTTAGTAAAGCCAAACTGTATTAGTGGTCTGTCTCAGTGCTACTTTGAGTACTAAAAGCATGTAAAATAATTATGGAAACTTAAATTGTATGCTTCCCCCCTTCCTTTAAGTGAGTTCTGTGTTGTGTCGATCATGAGATCATGATTAGTTAATGCACATTAACAGTTTTTATTATTAACTTGACTTCTATTTGTATGCAAAAGCATCTATACCTTTTAATAGCTGTAACAGAAATAATGACAACTGTAATTTTTAATTTTCTGTCTACTCATATCCAAAAGAGCGGGAAAAAAGATATTTTGCATTGGGCAAAAATTTTAAACATGAAATACTATAGAATTGGTGCGGAATATTTTGTTTAACTTAGCCAGCTGTGTGAAGATTTAAAGATTTCTATCAGAATTTTAGCATGCATTTTACTATTTTGCAGGATAATTTTTCTTGCCTTTCAAAAGTGATTTTTAGAGTCTTTTATGCTTCATCTTCTCATAAATGCAATGCTTACTGTTCAAAGTATGAAAATGGCTATCATTACCTTGGTATTTACAAAAGTACAATTAGATGTCTCTTAAGATGGCCACTTACCCTTCCGCTTGATGTATATGTTAGTTCTCTACTAAAGGAAGCTGCTTTAAAAAGAAGTTGTTTATCTGCATTCTCAGAACTTGATGATTTAGATGATTTTAAAGATCTTTGTAGAAGGGGCAGCTAGAAGAGGTTTCATTATGCGTACAGCTGAGGTCTTTTTATAGCAGTATGTAAAAAATAACAGGAGGAAGTTTAAAATTGAGATCCTGTGCTGAAAATGATCAAGAAAAACAATCAGATCATTAGACCAAAACCTGAAAGATAAAATAACGCAAATCATTCCTTTACTCATTTAAAAGTAATATGGTTTTAAAATATAGAAGTTTTAATGTTTTCATTAAATCTTATGCCTCATTATTCAGGACAGCATTAAAAATCTCATCTCCCTTCCTGTTCTCCCTGTATCCAGATTTTAGATATTGATCATCAAATTTCAGCTGATGTTATTTACTTGTAAATTCTCCTGTTTAATGATTTGGTTTATAGAATGTATACTGCAGATATTCAAAATGTATTAAGTTAGATGATTTTTTCCCTCTTAGATGGAACCTAATCGAAAGCTGGATAGGGATAACGTGAGTATGCTGAGTTGAAAAGTTTCTTCTTTTGGCCTTATATGTGGCTTATCAAATTTTTCCATGCTTAAGCATTTATTTTTTGGCATGATAGCCATTTCTATAGCATATAATCTTCTTTATGCTTTTGCATTTTTATTTTAGCATGATGAACCTTATTTCACCAAATAAAGCCTTCTAGAACTTTGAAAAATACTTTTTTGGCATGATAGCAGTACTTTGTTTTTCTTTTGATTATTAGCAGTATGCGTGGCTGATTATTTCTCTCTTGAATTTGTTTATATTTTACTTTCTATTTTCATTTTGAATGCTTTTAAGTGTTTTATGTTTTAATTCCTATGTATATAATTTTGTTATATTAAAATATGCTGATTATTTACTGAGTAGCTCTAGTTCAGTGTATATTTAATCTTTTTAACAAAAGAAGTTGTTTTTTTTTATACTAGTATATATTTTTCTCTATAAAATCTTAATGCTGTACATGTACCTTTTCTTTATTCTTAAATGTAAGAAGTTTTTAAATTTTAATATATTCAATTGGAAATTAGTGAGATTAAGTTCATAAAATCTTTGTATAAGAAGAAGTATATGTGTCATTTTTGTCACTGCATTTATTAGCATTTGGAAAAAACTGTTTGGTTAAATACAAAACAATAGACTAATACAGTATGTCTGAATAAGCAGACGTATGCAAAAATAATATACATTCTCCTATTATTGCATACATATATGCATAATTGTGTAGCATCAAATTGTTTATCATGTTATTTTTATTAAAGAAACTTGGAAAAATCACTTCTCAGCACTATGCCATAACCTGCATTTGATACTGTTTTTACTTATGTGCATTTTCTGCATTATGGTTTGATATTTTAAAATAAACCTTTCTTTAAAAAGTTACAACTATAATGGAATTATTATGTAAAAGTGTGGACTGGATTTTCTCAATGAACCTTCTAGCCCCTCCCCAAATTTTTAGACTTGTGGTTCTGGCATGGTGTAAAACAACAAATAATAATAATTATAGTTTGACCATCTATAGCGCAACCCTGCTTGGCATTCTGCCAAAACACATAGACTCGTCCAAAAGGGGCGGTATTACTTGCTGCGACATGAAAGGTCTTCTCTTCTCCGGAAAGAGCTATGCTGGAGGAAAAGAAATTCCCCATCCTTCCACCCTATTTTGAGAATAATTCGGTCTGAATGGCGCATGCGTGTTTGTGCTCATGGTCGCGGATGAGGCAGTCGAACAATACCCCCCCTCCACATTTATTAGATTTTTCTTTATTACCATCGTCATGTCATATAAGTAAACTCACAGATTGTTGAAGGAGACAGAGTTGGAAGATTGTATAATGAAAGCTGCAACAGTGTCCACATACTGTTTAGCTGATTTGACTTGCTTAACCCACAATTTGAAAAAAAAAAAAAAAAAAAAAAAAAAGTTATTTTTAAGAACAGCTTTTGTATGTGGCATACTTACAGTTTTGAATTAAACAATTAGCATGTTTCTCAGATGTTTAACAATGAAAACGATTTTATGCTACACTCGAAAAATTCATAGCTTGCAGTTGGGTATAATGAGTGCATTACAGTGTATCCTGTTTTCATTATGTATTTTGCCATCTTTGGCTCCCTCATTCTGTCCACTAGTGAATGAGTAGACAAGATTACTGAACTGGTAGAGTTACCAGGGCTCAATCCCAGCAATTGGGTTGTTTGAGATTCCTATGATTTTTCTTATCTAAAATGTTAGTATAATTCAGTCTGCTGTACACATTCTTCTATAAAGGCATCCTTTTCTTAAGTAAGTAACTCTCAAGCTTCGTTCAGACAATGGTATAAAGGGCATAAATGGTTTAAGCCGAGCTGCATTGCTAGGCAACCAGTCTGTGCTGCATCACAAAATTTGGTTTAGGACTTAGGATAAGCGTCGACCAGTCAGAGAGAATGCGCAAAACCTGAGTAGGAAAACAGAGCAGGAAAGCTGTAGACACAATCCCACACACGTGCAAATTTAGTTTCTCTTAAGTGGGTGAAGCTTAGACCGTGTGTCACAGGTGTGAACGGAATTCTCGCATTTTATTCCTTGTGACTCTTACGACCTTCCTTATGATTCCTTGTGACTCTTACGACCTCTGTGACATTTACATCGCTGTTTGAACGTAGCATAACATGCATTGTATTAATTGATTATGTAACCCAACCTTCTGCAGTTTAGTGAATTTATTTAAGTGAAAATAATACTTCTAATAGTGTTATATATATATATCAGGAGAACTGTTTATACTTATTTATGCAAATATTAACAAATAAGAGCTTTTTCAAATTTCAAATTAACCATTTTAATTAACCTTTATAAAACAATTTGCTTATGAAATGCAAGAGCAGTAAGCTGCAAAATTCCATTTAAAATATGTACAATTATACCTTTTAGTTTTCTAAATATATAACAGATGGCAGCAGTAGTATTCATTCATGAAAATAATGTAGAAAAATATCTTTGCAGGTCTAATTTTTTATTTTCCTCCCCTGAATTCTTTATACAATTGAAATTTTTTGAACAACAACTTTTGGTATTAGAATGATTATTTTCATCTGGAAGTTTCCTTTTCTGAAAAAATTTCTATTTGAATTCATATATATTAATTAAAAATGGTTAAAATTATAAGGTGGAACAAGAATGTCCCACCTTTTAATTGAGACATATATATTTTAATTGGGACATTTCCTAAAGATGGGACAAATATGCCCCACCTTTAGGAAATGCTGCTACTGGGTGGCAGCACAGTTCAAATTTTTTTTTTATTCAGGTATCATGTTCATTTTATATATGGATATTGCAAATTTTTATTTTTTATTAAATTGCAGTAATGTTAAAACTTGAAAAAGATTTAGCATTTCTTCCGAAAGAAATGAAAATATAACCTCGAACATGAAATGTCATTGAATACTGAATGGATATGAATTAGCTGTGAGTCACCATTGAAAAATATCCTGAGCAGAGGTAAGAGAGGTGAAATGTAAATAAACATGACGGCCTAAACATTCTCCTTTTCAAACCTGTATCAAATAAAGTACTGAAGCAAAAATCTTCTGTATTTCAAACCTATTATGAAATCATTAAAAAAAAATGTAAAAAGTTGTACAGGGAGCAATTTATCTTTAAATTATGTAATTTTTTACTAAATATATTTATTATTTAGTGAATATGGTCAATATTTTCTTGATAATTATTCAAAAACGTTTTCATATTTATCTTGAAGTTTCATTTAGTTGCTAAAACAAACAAGTTATGAGTCAAGCAAGCTACATATAAGCATGTTAGGAGAATTTACACTCAGGGAAAGATGTCATTTCATTGCTTTAAATGCTCAGTGGGACAAGCGGTATCCCACCATGTCATGAATTACCTTAAAAGTTACCTGTTGTTTTTTTCATCAAATAACTTTGTATTCAAACCTAATTATCTATGCATCAAATTATTATTATTATTATTATTTAAATTAATGCACCAAACCTCGAAGGGTTAAAGAGAAATAAGGTTTGTAGATGTAGAGTTAACCAAGGAAAAAATTGTATTTATTTTTAGAGCATGTACATTTTCTGTAATGTGAGTTTTATTTTTTACATTTAATAACATTTAATTTTTTTTTTTTTTTTTTTTTTTTTTTTAATAGTTGCAGCCCAACAGTGCATCTGGATCAGGTTCTCTAGAACATGATCACACTGCTCTATATAAAGCATTGAAAAAGGTAATTTTTTTTTTTCAGTTTTTTATGAAGTCGGATTGACTTCAAATTTTACAGTTTTGCTTGTAGGAAACATATTAAGATGTAGGGCATCAAACATTCTGGATTAGTCTGTACTCCTAATGGAACTCTGAAAGGCTAAACAGACCAAATGATAAAATTTTAATGAGCTTATAAAGAGAAACATGTACCAAAATCAGCATGTTTCATTTTTATCACTTTGTCTCATGTATACTGTTGTCCAAGATTTATGTAATGTATAAATTTGAGCACAAGGCAAAAAATATTCTAAATTAAATCATATTCCTGGTGGGATTTAAAAAAATTGTTAGACAAAACTGTTTCATGCATTAGTAAATTTTTATTAAGTGGAAAAATGCAGCTATTTCACATTTATCACAAGGTCCTGTGTATATTGCTCTTCAAGATGCACAAAAATATAAGCTTCATTATGATAAACTATGATACAGTATTTTTATATATAGAAACAAAAGTATTCAAAATTTAATTTATTATTGAGTGGCAATCATTAGAATTAAAAGGGAACTGAGGATATTTTTTATTTCTTTTCAACTATCTAAAATTGTCTGAATATAGCACTGTTTAATGCACATTAGAAAATTATTGTTAGCCGAAAGAGGCTTTGCTTCAGACGGACTATTAATCTCGAAACTGCACTTTGTATCGTATAGCTTAAACGTGATGTGCCACTTTTCAAACTGTTACAACCAAATATTATCGCCCTGTGTTATATTTAAAGAAACTAAATGATGAAGAATCTCCATAAATGTATGTATTTTTTCTGTCAATGTGGGGAAAAAAAAAAAAAAAAAAAAAAAAAAAAAAAACAGCAGTACTAGAGTCATCAAATTTTGAATATCATAGTCCTCCACCTGAACAAGGGCACCTGGAAGCCCGAATTTGCAATTTCAAATTCGTTTTATTGTCTATTTCATATTTTATAAAACTTTTATAATTTTTTTATTAAAAAACTCTGCAATTTCAGCAGTGGCAACACTGTAGAGAATAAAACATTTTTATCTCCAGCATGCGAGACTGTCTATTGGAAATACTAAAGATATGCTGTTTTTAAATATCTTTAGCCCAAAGGGATGTTAGCTCAAATGCTTTTGAAAATGTGTATGTATGTGTAAATGGGGGGGAAAAAAAACACTCATTTGGGCATAGTATTAAATCCGAAAGCCTTCAGAATTTTTTAAAATTATTATTATTTTTAGAATTGTATAATTTTTAATTCCATTTTAAAATATAGTGTAGTTATAGTGTTTCTGTATTTGTGTTCATGGTAGATCTATGATATACCAGGGAAATTAATACAAAGTTAATATTTGAGAGCAGTTGCTGTGTTGAGTGACTGCCAATTCACCTTCAGTGACAATATACTTGTTCAGGCGAAAGCATGTAATATGGTTAAATATGTTGTTATTCTGTAAGGAATGTTTATTTTGCTAATATAAGTCATAATTATGTTATTAAATAATATCAAATATTCAAATTCATATTAGAAAAATGCTTCTATGTTCTGAAAGAATAAGATGCAAATCCCTCCAATTTCACTCTAAAGTGAAATATTCCCCTTTAAAGAGTAAAATATTCTGACAGAGTATTAATCTGTGAAAATCATAGAATATTGTGCTGCTTGAAGATCTATGCCACAGTCCCTCAAAAAGAATAGTTAATTTTAGTAAAATTAATGGAAATTTAAACTTGAATTTTGCCAAATTTAAGTGTTCAAGTTGGTATTCTGGTCTTATCAATCATTATAATTAAATAATTGATTTTTACCATAGTGTTTTGTATTTTGAGAGACTGTTTTTACAGAAATTTATTTCTCATTAATGAAATTTTCTAAATTCTTTGAATAGAAATATTTAATTCATATTCTGCGGTGAAAGGGGAGAAAATTTTTCATGCATTTTTATTTTCATGTTTGTAATATTTAAATAATATCATGCTGTGCTTTAATTTGTTTGATATTATACTCTATGTAATATTTTTATTCTTTCAATTTGGTTATTTTCTCTATATCTATCTATTTGCGTATACTTTGCTTCTTGTTTTATTATAATAATGTAAATAAATTATTCTTCAAAGAAGTATACTAATATGCTGGATTGAATACACATTTTAACCACCTGAAAGATGTTAGGCTATTGGGAGGGGGACAGTAAAGTTTTATCTTATGTATCCCACATAGCATTTGAACCAGGCTTTCGGAGGGGGTGAACAGTAAATTCTTATCTGATATATCCCACGGAGCATTTAAACCGGTTATGCTATTCTCATTACATATATTTTATTTACACTTATTTTTTATTTTGACTTTGTATGGCATGATATTATATTTTAAGTAAATTTTCTTGTTACAGAAAAATTAATATTTCTTAAAATGCCATTTTTAAAACTTAAAATTAATCTGTTTTAAAAATATTATTTTTGCAGGGAGCATCAGTTCCTGATCCTTTGCCTTTAGGTGTTGCTGTTATAGACATGTCTGTAGTTTTATTTGGTTTGATCTTTCCTGCAGTTGCTTTTAAACATAGACTTCAAATGTTGGAACATTTTTCCGAATGCATTCGACAAGCCAAAGCAACTCGACAAGAAGCAGTGCAAATAAATATTTTTACTGCTCTGCTGAATGCTCTAAAGGTAGTTTTAGATTTTTATTTTTTTAAGGTTATATTTACATTGCATTTTTAATTCAAATGCCAAATGTAAATTTTTATGAAATACTCCTTTGTTTATTATATGTTACCTTTCTTGCAGGCATTAGTTGAAACAAAATCTAGTTTGGGATCAGAGGATGTTAGAAAAGCAGCTATTCGTTTATCATTGGTAATTTCAAAAGCCTTAAATTAGTTACCAGTGTAATGATCTCATGTAGTGTAAATGAAAGTATACAGTCTAAGTGACACACACGCTGCCATTTCCAACTCTGAGATACAGTATCTGTTTTAACTGCTTATGAACAATATATTTTATTTATTTATTTATTTATTTTTATGTTCAAAAGTTTGATTATGTTTTCAAAATCATTGAATGAAAAAAAAAAAAAAAAAAGGCTACATTAAGTGTTAAAGAAATAGGAAGACAAAATTATCAATTATATTAAAAAACAGAAGTAATGAAGGGCAAAATATACTTCTTAGCCAGATGAAAGTATTTTGCTAATAAACTGCATAATTTTTAATAATTTTCATTTATCTTTATAAATTACATACAAAACTAAATTTGGACGTGAGGTTTCCAAACTAATTCATTTTTGCAGAATTTTAACGATAACTTTTAAACCAAATATATAATTTATTTGTTATGTAATCTATCAAAAAAGAAGAAATTGTTGCAAATTTCAAAATTTTAAAATCCTTTAAAGATATACAGTTTTTCTCATTTTATCTAAAAGGTCATTGACTTGTATTTATAAAATGTTCTACATCTATTATTTTCTGAAATTATATCTCATATATTTTGGCTAAATGCATTTAAAATTTTAGGGATCACTTAATCATGTCAATCCAATTTTGAGATGTGCAGCTGGTGAAGCATTGGGTAGAATGGCACAAGTTGTTGGTGATGGTCGATTTGTAGCTGAAATGGCTCAACACATGTTTGATAGGTAAAAATGAAAGATATGCATTTTTTTAATTATTAGTTCTTTTTATGTAATGAACATATTATCATTAATTATAATTTTTACAGCTTGTTTGCCTATTAATTTTATATAAAATTCAGTTCTCTTATTTTCACTTGAACGTAAAATAAATTATAAAAAGCCATTCAGAGGAAATATGAGGTGTAAAAGCTTTATCATATCAGGGTGCTTAAAAATGTTCTTTTTTAGTTGATAAAGCTTTTATTTCACTTAACAGTAATCCTTTGGATTGCTTCCTTATGAAAGCCAGTTTTGAAAATTTTCAACTCCAAGTGGATACCACAAAAGTTCATTTCTTTGAGGTGCACATGAAGTAGCAAAGTAGTAATAAGGCTGTATGGGAATTTTTATTTATTTTTTCTTTCTATATAAGCTTACAGATCATCTTAATTTGGTTGTTGCCTTCTTGGATATCATAGTGGTTGGCAGAAAGCTGACTCATTTAGATGCTGTTAGGTTCATGCTTGAATACCAAGAGAAAGCAGATTATTTATTACTTTAAGTCATGGGGTTCTCAATATCTTTTGCTAAAATCTCTTTCAAAAGCTTGGTGATAAGGCAGGAGCAGTATGAGGTTCCTTGATTCCATTCCTAAAGCACTGTTTGTCAAAATAGACAAGTTAGAGATTAAACACAGCCCTTGTGTGCTATATGTAAATTAAATAACTCAATCCTGCCTGGATTGACTGTTATTAATATTCAACCTGCTTTATCCACATTTCAGTCATTTTTGAAAACTTCATATTTATGCTATTTTTATGTTTTGTAATACAGTATAAAGTCCGTAATCCGGACTCGTTGGAACTTCGGCGATTCCAGATTAAGGGTTTTTCCGGATTATAAATCATCAATTTAAATCTGGTAAGGTGGCATGCAGAAATTATACAATTAAATATATGAAACCGTAATTTATGAGATAAAGAGCAATTATGATCTATAAAGGGTATCAAAATTTACAAAAAAAAAAAAAAAAAAAAAAGCTTAATATTTATTTGTTTACTTTATTAAACATTTCTTTCAATGTAAATTATTTAAGTTGCTTCGTTTTTTGTGATAAACGCGCATGTGTAAACATTAAACGTGCATGCATAAAGCGTAGAAAAAAAAAAGTTTGTGGCTTTAAGATCTGGATTATAGATCATTCAGGATAATGGACATCAGGATTACAGACTTTGTACTGTATGTTTTCTCTATAAACAGTGACAGATTTTGTAGGATTCTTACCGTTTGTTTTTCAGATAAAAAAAATTTATAACAGTTTACAGTTTCTGTTATGCAAAACTTTAACAATGTGAAATGCCATATTTATTTACTTTTAGCTGTCTAAAGTGATGTAGAACTGCCTTTTGTTCTGTCATTTCTTTTACTTCATGATAGTAACATCATCTGCTCTAGAGTGATCTTCACTACTTCTCACACCTGATTAATGAAGTATTATAAAAAACTAAAATATTGAATTTAACCAAATTGAAGGGATAACTATATGTAATCCTCTTATTCCTGTACTTGCTGATATTTACATGCACTATTTTGAGATCAGATTGCTTGAGAAACTATCTTTTCATCCCTGTATTCTCTATGTAGAGAACACATTCACACTTTTTGATGGTAATAAAGATTTATCCCAGATTTTATGTTATAAATTCCATGCCTTAATTTCTAAGATTATAAAACCTGGATCCCTACAGAAGACCATAAGGAAAGAGGAAAATTTTTTCAAGGCATTCAAAAAATTTTTTATTTTGACATCAAAGAAGACATTCTGCTGTTGTTAATAACTGTAATGATCTTGCCATGCTTCCATTTCATCCTTCTCTCAACTACAAAATTGCACAGATGCTCCAGTTTCAATTCTTAAAAATTCCATTTCTAACTTCAGTTGTTGAGGAATTTATAGCATATCTTGCCATTGTGGTTTAAGCTTTATTGGCCAATCTAAAAGAGCATTCAAATTTTACATTAAGGAACATTAATCTAATGTCTGGAAAAAAATTAACAAGTCTTTGATAGCTAATCATAATTAGAAATTTAATCATTATTTTGATTTGAGTCTGCAAAAATTATTCAGAAAGCTTCTTCCATTGGTGAATTGGATTTTTATGAACATTTTGACATTCACAAAGATTTATCTTGTTTAGCTAGTTACTTTAACACCAATTCAATTCTTCGTAATAATTTTAAAATTATGTTAACTTAATTTTTCAATTTTCATTACTATTTCTGCTGACAGATGGCACTACCTTCTTGTTTGCTTAACTCCTTTTGGTGATAAATACAACTGTGGCTTTTCCATAGTTGCACATTTCTTTGCCCTTGATGAAAAGGGGCCTGTACCTGTTTGCCCATGAAATCAATTGAGTCTTGACTAAAATTACGCCAGACACTAGTTATTGCTTAGCTAATTTTATACTAGAACATTTTATTTCATTCCTTACTTCTTTTTAACTGCATGTGCCTTTTAATTCTTCAACACTTGCTTTTCCACTGCTCATTCTTATCTTCATTTGAAAGATGGTATAAATTAAGAAGAAAAAATTGTAGATTTTTGTATGCATATGTATTCTGGGATGAAAATTAATACAAGTTTTATTTTTGGTACTTTTCTGTTTGGCCGGTGCAAATCTCGCGAAGCAGACTTTATTGTCAACAACACACAGTATACACATAAAAAATGTTAACAAATGTTAGTTTTAAGAATTTTTTATTTTGAAGGCATAAACATTTTAAAATTGTTTAAAATTTTGTAAAAAGACAAAAAAAAAAAAAAAAAAAAAAAAACAATAAATTTGTAAAAAGACATTCATTTAAGAATTTACTATGCTTTCATGGTACAACATCCCGATTCGACGGTTCATATCACGTGACCCCAAGTGATTGTATCTCACGTAAACTACACTACAAAAATCTAATTCTCTCAGTAATTATCTACATTAAATTAAATCTTAATTTACAATAAAAGTTTTAATGCAAGAATTATTTTAATTCATACGAATAGCTTACTCAGAAATTATGTAAAACCACAGTGTTTTGCTTCGCTAGTGCATACCCATTAAAATTGAGGAATTTAACCCTTGACTTTGCCATTTCTGTAGTTTGTTCTTCGGTTGAGCATTGTGATTGCATCCTAATTGACTTAATTGCCGTGAATGACCTTAGGGCATAAAATTGAACTATCTGGTAAAAATGCTATGTAATTGTTGGTCAGTATTGAAAGAAACAATCAATCTGATAAGAAATGGCTGGAACTTGTTTTGAAAATGAGGCGTAAAAGGTTACCAGGAGGATATTCCATTTGGCATCGGTTGTAGCATTTTTGGCAACTTTATTGCCTGTGCCAGCAAAATGGAAAAGTACCTTATTGTTTTATATGCATGTTTTTTTATTAATGTGGTAATCTCGTTTCTTAAAAGGTTAAAAACTGCTCGTGATGCTGCATCTCGTACTGGTCATTCTTTAGCTCTTGGATGCTTGCACCGTTATGTTGGTGGAATGGGCACTGGTCAACATTTAAATACAAGTGTTAGCATTCTTTTAGCTTTAGCACAAGATACAAATGCACCTATTGTTCAGGTATAATCACTTTCTTTTATCTCATTCTTTTCACCTTTGGCTAGTTTAAAAAAATTGCTTATTTTTGTTCTTTGTGTTTGCACATAAATTTAAATTATTTTTTGCTTGCTTTTAAGTAATACACAATTAGAGCTTGTATAAATAATGCTGTGTGTTTCTTTTGGTGCTTGTGTATTGAAAAATGTCTTAAAATTATTTACTACATTTAAGTTTGATTTTTCTTATGAAATTTTCAATGTAGTTGTATCAAATTTTCAATTTCAAATGAATTGAAAGACAGATATTTTTATTAATTTCAGTTATGGGCGCTGCATGCTTTATCAATGATTGCTGATTCTGGTGGACCTATGTTTCGAACGTATGTGGAGCCAACATTATCCATTGTTCTGAAGCTACTTCTTCATATGGCCCCCACACATATTGATGTTCATCAGTGTATTGGAAAATGTTTGACAGCTTTGATTACAACAGTAGGACCTGAGTTGCAAGGTAATAATAAAACTGACTGCTAAAAATATGATTATAACCTACACTGGTGGACAATTGCTAAGAATGGATCGCAAATGACCATATAGCACATAAAAAAGCATGGTTGGATGTCAAGTGAAGTAGAATAATGCCAGAATACAAGAACATAACAATAAAAATAATTTATTGTGCTCTGAAATCCAATGTTCAAAGGATATATTGCTATTTTTTGCTGAATTCGTAAAGGTGAAAAAATACAATTGCCATCCCCAGGCATTCTGGCGCAAGATGTAAATACAGGATATTGCTACCATGAAGGGCATTGCATGGTTCCACCCATTGTGTCATGCTTGCATGGTTCCACCCATTGTGTCATGCTTTACAAAACATTATCCAGCAGCTGTTGGTAATTTATCAGATTCCTCTGTCAGTGCACAGAAGAGAGTGTCCTTGTTTATTGGAGGGCATTCTCAACCAGCAAGACTCCTTTCCAAACATTCCAAACATTTTCAATGGGATTCATATCTAGAAAACATGCTGACCACACAAGGTATTGAGTATCCTCACTTTCTAGACACTACCTGACAGAAATTGTTTAATGACATGTTGTGTTGTTATCCATGAAAACAAGTTTATCACCGACAGCTGGGACTATGACCAGTCATAATCCCAGCTGGAAGCATACAGATTTACATACGGCCATTGATCATGATCCCAGCCCATGCCATGACACTGCATGTAGGATATTGACCCATTTCCTGTCTGTTTGCCAGACTATGTGCTGTCACAATCAGATAAGAAACTGAAACTACTTTCATCCAAGAACAGTTTACAAGCCCAGTCATCTTCCTTGCGATTACGATGCTGAAGGCACTATTGCAAATGGGCAGAATGATGACGTCTGGACAATGGAATACATACAACAGGACGGCAGGCATATAGTCCTCCTTGATGCAAACATCTGACTACAGTTTTTTTGGGGAGATTTATTTGCCAGTAGCCACAAGTAAGTGATTTACCACTTCAATAGCTGTGCTGCTCTGGTTCTTTTTTTGTCAGTAGCCCTATGTACTTCTCTTCTGCTGGCATCGTACTGCAAACACAACCTCCCCCATGACATTTGCTGCACATTCCATTTGTTTCAAATGATTTCCAAAGAAATGACACTGTGGCTGACATCGAACTTCTGAGCAACATCTGTTACTTTTCACCCTTCTTTAATCTTGCCAGTGATATGGCCTTGCATCTAGGTGATGTTGGGAAGACATACTGAAAAGTGCAAATTCGTCAACTGAGTCTTTTACATTAAATTTTGCTTTTAAACAACAGCGGTCAATAGACATCAAATCTTTTATATCTCTTATCGGCGCTATCACGGAATGAACAACTTTGGCAATCCAGAATTTGCATATGCACATCATGTCTTACTATATCCTGCACTGACACTAATTTCCACATTTTCCTGCCTTCTATTTTGTGGTTGTTATCACTGCTGTTGTCATCCATCCTTAGAAAAAAATCCACCAGTGTATTTTTATTAATTATTACTTATTTATTTGTTTATCTTTTAGCATTACTGTATTTTCATGTTTATGTAGCTTTTAAATTAAAATTCTTGGTTTGCAGTGGATATTTCTTAAGATATCCATGCTTAAATTTTAGTTTAAAAAAATGTAAAATTTAAACTGTTATAGTTACTCTTATAGTTTGCCAAAGCATTTTATGTAGAGTATCTTAATACTCATTTTAGAATAAATAAAATTTAAAATCTGTTTGAGTAAAGAATAATTTCTTTTGGCGTACTATTAAGTGCATAAAGTTCTAGGATTATGAATGTACAGCTAGAGTATTGCAAAGTTGAGGAAAAGGGGAAAATGCAAAAATAAATATGACAGTTCAATACTTTGATTAAAAAAAAAGAAAAAAAAAAAAAAAAAAAAAAAGAAAAAGAAAAAAGTAGTTATCTAAAGCTAAAATAAAGCTGTAACTGACTGGTTGGCATATCAGCCTTGTACTTTACTTGTACTTTAGTGTATATATCCTTGTACTTGATACTGAAAATAATTAATATATTTATTATTATTTAAAAAATTTAAAACCATCAAATTGATTTTAGTATTATCAAATTTAAGTATCAAATGTTCTCTCTAAAAGATCCATGCAAAGTAAAATAGTAATTTTCTATTAAGCTATATATTTTAAGGTAGTAGTATAAAAAAATCACTGTTGTGCAGCTGAAAAGAATAAATTTAAGTTTTTCAAGGTTAAAAAAAAAAAGGTTGAAAGTGTAACTATTTTTGCTTTATTTGTATATTTGTATTGCTAATATCATAAATAAAGCATCTTCTTTTTGTCTATAAACATTCTTTTTGTCTGTTTATTTTAATTCAAATAAAAATTCTGTTTTCAAACATTTAGAACTGTGGGAATTAATGTAGCAATTTTTGCATATGTATGAATGAAAATTTATTGGTAATAATTAAGAGTAATAAAAGCAAGGAAGTTTTAACTTTAATTGTACTCATTTTATCTCTGAGATTCTATAAATTTGTTTTTTGAATAATTGGATTTAATTTTAGATTGAGCTTTAGCATTATAGTTATATGGCTAAAATGTATATTCTTGTGTTATCTGTCATAAATTGCTGTTTTGTTTTGTTAAATGATCTTGTAATTTATAGGCAACTCACTATCTGTATGCACTACAAGATCTTCGTTTCTTGTTGCTTGTGCTATCATGCAAGACCATGGTGATCCACTAGTACAGGCAGAAGCAATATCATGTTTGCAGCAACTTCATATGTTTGCTCCACGTCATGTTAATTTATCAAATCTTGTGCCCACATTATGTGTAAGTAATAAATACATTAAACGAGTTCTTTGCTTTAAGTTCATATAGTATTAATTCAAAAGTCAAACAACAAAAATCAGCGTTATATTCTCAAATTTTTACAGGACTAGTTTCAATGGTTTTACTGAACCACCATCTTCAGCTGCAAAATCGCAAATGCGATCTGATTCAGCTGCAAATATCTGATTTTTGTTGTTTGACTTTTGAATTAGTATTTGTTTGGCATGTTATTGTGTCTTATTCATATAGTATTATCAAACCTTTATTTTGACATTTCATGCAGCTTCTTGAATTTCTTAAGAATCTCTGAATTGCATCTAATGAATGTTTTTTTTTCCCCTTCTTTCTTTTATAGTGTGCTTTACACAGTTCTCATCTTCTGTTAAGGCGAGCTGCTGTAGCATGTCTAAGGCAACTAGCTCAGCGTGAGGCATCTGAGATTTGCGCACATGCATTATCATGGGCAAGAGAAGATAACTCATCTTCAATTGTAAATAAAGCTTTCCTCGCGGAAAATGGATTGGAAGGTATTTTATTTTGTATGTTGGACACTGAGACTGATCCTCATTTGGTTGCTGATACTCATGATACTTTAACAAGCATGTTGCAGACACTTGCGGAAGAAAATGTTGGTCACTGGGTGCACCTTTGTAAAGGTGTATTAACTGCTGCAGGTAAATATTCTATGTAATATTGTGTTTTTGTGTATTTATTTTGATGTTAAAATATTGCTGTTGTTATATCTCTGTTTTTGATAAATTATATGACTGATTTCAATCTCATGGATTTTCATTTTCCAAAGATATTTTGCATATTTTTAACTGTGTAAAAAATTAATATCCTATTTTCTTTTAAAATTCCCATACAAGCTTTGTATATTTTAGATCTAATTTATAAAATATTTTGTTCAAAAATTGTTAAATATTTATTGCCTAATTTGCTGCAATCATGCTTGCAGAGTGTTTAAGTATTACAATGTGTTTACTCTTAAGTGCACTGCAGATTCAGCTGGTGTAATGAAAGCATATTTTAAATATGTGCTTTTAATTTATTTATGTTGTTTACTTAAAAATTTTTTTTATAAATAATGTAAAAAAAATATTATCAATTTATGTAATTCTTACATGCATCAAAAATATAACATAGTTATGATAATTAAAATTTGAATCTTCTGATAATCCTTTTATTTCATTTTATCAGCTTAGTTTTTTTTTCCCCCACTAAATATTGCAGAATGAATTTTCGTTGTGATATTTCTAAGTGAAATAGGCATAAGCAATGAAATTTCTCATCAGCATAATTTATAAAGTTAATTATTATTTTCATTATTGAGATTTCATCTTTTAGACAACAAACCATAAAAAGCTTATGATTTGACTTGTGTAATAATCTACGTTGCATAAATCGTTTTAATAGCTGAAAGCTATTACATAAATTTATAGTGCTGTAGTTTGAAGTCATTAATTTATTTTCTTTAAAGGCTTATTATTTTAATCTACACTAGATCTTTATATAAATCTATTTCCCCTATTATTAGTTTAAAGGTTAATTCACTTAATTATCTATATTTAATTTTCTATTGTGATTTTAATATATAACTCGAATGTTATTAGCATTCATTTCCTGTTATGCAGTGAATCATATTTTTTAATTTTAAATCAAGTAAAAAATTTTATTCATTGCTTCTAGTAACAAACTGTTTTAAATATAGATAAATATTTACTTTTTATATGATTTATTTTAATGTTATGTAGTGTAAATTGCATATTTTAAAAATTTTACTTTTGCATTTTATTCTGTAAATTATTTTTGTTTAAGGAAAATATTCTTTTAATTTGTAATAAAAGATGCCACTTAGGTCACATTTTCTTAAGTGGTTTGACATTTTGTACTCTAAAATTCTTAAAGTAAAAAGTATATTAACATAGCTATATAGCAAGTTTTCTATATGAATATATTTATGTAAAAATTTTGTAAAATCTAATTCTTCAGAAAGGTATGAAGAGTGATCCAAAAGTGGCAACACTTAAAATTTTGTTAGTGAGCTTGCATGTGTGTCACATTTTTAGCTTAATATATATATATATATATTTTTGGATCAGTGGTTTTCATTTCAAAAGATAATTTGTGTATAGCTATGTGTGCTTATGAAATAGTATATGTGTTTTAATATTTACCATATTTACTCACATATTTTAATCCATTTCCCAATTTTACTTATGAAAAATCAGGAGGGGAAAATACTCGGTGAATACTCTTCTGAAGAGACAGATTAAATGATAAAAATAGGACATTAAAAAGTACACATAATAAAGATATTATAATGTTGTTATATAGTGTATTTCAAATGTCTAATCAATTTCAATAACATTCTTTTCACTTAAAATACTTCCCCATGTGTGCATAAGTTTCATTGTTACCATAAATAAAAAGTTTCTAAATCATATGGTGAAAACACCAGGGCAAGAAAGCATACAAGGGGGAGAAATATCCAATAAATATTCTATATTAAAGTGAATTAAAATTAAGTAAAAATTTTAATTGAGGATTTGATTGTTTTGAAGATAACTTATAATTTACATTAGATTTCATGTCTTAAACTTCATTTTTAATTTCCCTTGTGCATTGCTATTTTTACATGGATTTTTTTCTAGAATTTTGAAAATGGTATTGAGTGTGTTTGCCTTGCCAACATTGTAACAACTTATTGAAATGTTTTAATTGATATATATATGTATATATATATATAATTTATTTCCTAAACATATTGATTAATTGATTATATTATCTCCTAAGTTTAATTAAAGTAGATTATTTTAAAAGTGTGCATCCATACTGGTAAGTTTATATTTTGAAAGATGTTTTGAAGTAATTTTGAAAGCAAAATGTTAATAATGTTTTAACGGGCTGATATTAGTAAATTAAAACAGCTTTTTACTATTACAAAAATAGATAAAGCAACTAATAACTTTAGCATTATATGAAAACAATTCTACACTAAATTATTCATAAAGAACTTCTCAACGCAACTACTTATCAATCATAGCCAACCTTACAGAAACATCTATAATAAACAGGATTTAAAACTTTTCATAAGAAACTCAATATTACTTTCAATGCAAACTACAACAGATTTACTAATCTTTATGCGATTCCCAAATTCCATAAAACACCAATTAAAATTTAGATTTATAGCTAATGGAACTAATAATTACAAGAAAAATATAGACTATTATTTTTCAATTCAACTTAATAAATCTGTAAATTTATTTTCAATGATTGTAACACTAATCATAACTATTGCTGGATCATTCATAATAACACTCCTCCTGTCATTAATACCATTCAACCCATTAACATCCAAACATTAATTGCTATGATTTTGAAAACTTATATACCTCACTTCCTCTAGAAGAAATCTATACCAGTCTACTTGATCTACCTAAACTTTTTTTCCCTATATGCTCAATATCATGACTCTTGACAAATGGAAACCTACCTAAAATGCACACTTTTTCATAACTACATCAAGTTTCAAAATCAAATTTTTAAACAAGTCAGAGGATTGCCAATGGGCTTACATTCCACCAGCACCTCAATCTGTAATATCTTTTTATTTGTCAAAGAATTTAACTTCAAAAAAAATCTACAACCACAAGAGTTAAATTACTACAAACACACCTACAGATTTATTGATGACCTTATTACAATTAATAATTTTTGATAAAATTGAAAACTCCGACATTTATCCGAATTGTCTTAAACTTAATAAAACTAATAATTCACAAAATAGCATAGACTTTCTAGATCTTCAAATCATTAACTACAAAAAAATTTTACTTTTTGACAAAACAAGAAACTTCAATTTCAATACTAACAAATTAATAAATTGGAACTCCAACATATCCAAAAAAGTAATTAACAATACTATAATTAATCAAATACAACGAATTAAAACTATATGCACAGATACAATAGATTTACAACGCGAAATTTTGATCCTTATCAAAATTCTCAAAAATAATCTAATTCCCTTTCAATTTATCAACCATTGCCTTAAAAGAGCAGGCGTTAAATACTCACTCTAAATCATTTAACTGATAGGGATATGATAATTTATTCCTAAACCTGAGAAGGCGGTATAAGTTGGATGACTGTCAGTTGAAAGGATTTGTATATAGTGTAATTACTCAATTGTATATATTGTAAAAAGCTAATTGTCTTCAGACATATACTGTTACTATACTGTTACTAAAAAAATGGGCCTATTTCCTGCCTTTAGACTGTCTACTAGCTCTTGGATAGCGAAAATGCCTTTTTCCTCCTTTCTTAAATTCTTAATCATTACGACACGACAATTAGCCAGAAATTAATTAATTTCCATTCACTAGTATTTTTAAAAAAATCTTAACAGACGGTCTCTCTCAGATAAGAACTCCACAAAATACATTCCTCAAGAATTCCAAGTCCCACCCACTACCATAAATTTCTTCACCCAAGTCTTACCGACTGATATAATTCAAAGCCCCTACTGCCGCTAAGAATTTTCGGACACCCTACACTTCTGAGTCAGACACGAAGAGAACACATTGCCAACTCCCCCACTAGAAAGAATGTAAGTTACTTAATACCTTTCTGGCCTTTATATCTTCATGTACATTCACTGTTCTTATTATATATTTTATTTTTATATTATTTTTATATTACTTTATGTTGTCTTTGATTTGTTTTTACAAAGTTTTTGCATTATTTATCTTATTTTGTAATCTTCTATGTTTATTTCAACTTTACTTTGATTTCGATTTCATAATGACAATTTCCAATGTTTAATTTCTACAAATAATATAGTACTCAAATACATAAAGATGATAGTGTCGGGGACGATTACTCGAGTTTTACAGGATTTCTCTACAGTAATTGATTTTTACTCCAAATTGAATTGACTAAAATGCTTCATGAGAATAAGTTCTTTGAGTAACAACTATTCGCGGAAATATTTGGCCTGACTAGAATTGCCGGTTTGGCTTTAACTTATAACTCGAGTAAAGACGAAACACTTTCATATTTACGTATTTTTATCAATTATTGATCATTGAACGGGAGTTGGTTTGTTCCCCTTGAAAAGTCAACTAATTTCCGATCAATGACAATAATTACATGTTTTAATTTTTACTTTTACAATTGTAAATTTTATTCTTCGTGATGATTTAACTCCAGTCCCCGTTAAAACATTATTAACATTTTGCTTTCAAATTACTTCAAAACATCTTTCAAAATATAAACTTACCAGTATGGATGCACTCTTTTAAAATAATTCTACTTTAATTAAACTTAGGAGATAATATAATCAATTAATCAATACTTTTTAGGAAATAAATTATTATTAACTAACTTTGCAGCAATTGCGCAAGTAATAATAACTTATATTCGCACTAAATGATTTAAGTTCATACAACATTATATATATATATATATATACTAAAAGATTTTGATATGATGAATGATAAATTATAATTTTCCTTTTTTAATTTTAATATATTGCAGTTTAAAAAATATGGGAAAAGTAATAGGAAAATTTAGTAATATACAAGGTGTAACATACAAACACACGCACACACACACACAAAAAAAAAAAAAAAAAAAAAAAAAAAAAAGAGACTGGTTTAATAAATCA